GTTAAGCAGCTCGCTGGCGATGTGTAGCTCGAGTCCGGCTGCAACCATTGGCCCTGTAGTCTCGAGCTCGTACTCGGCAGCATGTTTGAGCACGTATTTCTGGAAGGATGTCAGTTCATGCCGACGAGTGCAGTGTGTGTACACACCACACTCGACTTAAGGATCCTGTTGATAGAATGAGTCGGCTTGCTGGCATGATATGATACGACTTGGGAGAGAGCGATCTACAGGAAGGTCAATAAACGTAACGATCGACTGAGCAGCGTACGCACGTGAAGTGGCGTACTAACGACCCAGTTGGCGCGGACGAGGGCCTCGATGTTCAAGATGCTCCTCTTGATCTCCTCAACATCGGTGGTGAGTTGCGCGATACGAGCGTCGATGGCGACAAACTCGCCCCCGACAAGGCAGACTTTGCCCTCAGCAGTCAGTGGAACCTTAAGCAGTGTTAGACTTCGCATAGTCGTGAATTGTTGAAGCGGTGCTCACCTTACTCAGCAGCTGCGCATGCTCGACTATCTCGGGCGAGAGCCCAAGGTCAACACCCGCCAAGCCTACGCGGGCGCAGAGCTCATCCTGGAATGTCGAGTGCATTATGGTGTCGATGCTCTGCACTGAGTTGTACTCCGTATTCGTGTAGTTGGGAAGCGATGGGCCAGAGGACGTCTGCGCACGCGAAAAGTTGCGGTTGCCGCCGGGATATGGTGCGTAACGAAGGTCCCTGTTCTCTGCATTGGTTTGGCTGGGCATGTTGAGAGGGAAGGGTAGAGGAGGCGAGTCGGCTCGGAGCAGCAGATATAACAACAAAAGGAGAGACGAAGGTGGTCGGAAGGGGCAGATGGAGTGAGAGTGAGGAGGGCAACGAAGGCGCAGCTGGGGCATCACGTGCCATACTTTCCCACGACCACATGCAAGTCGAGCTGACCATGCTCAGGAGCCTCCGTATATCAGACAGTTCATGAGGTACAGGCAGAGAATACTGTAGATACAATGTACTTCCAGGACCACGTCGGAACTCGCATAAACCACAAACATCTACATGTCATCTATAGATAAGCAGGTCTTCCTTCACCTCGGGCACGATTCTTGTCCGTTCGTATGCACAGACCGACCCGCAATCCTCCATTCCGCATCTAGTAATCAGGAGGTGCCGGCCATCTGTACCCGCCCACGTCAGATGTACCATCACAGCTGTGGTTGAACTGAAGGTGTGCTGGTAGATTCTGCGCCGCGCGACGTGCCGCCACCATGGAAAGAGAGGGTGTGGAGGGAAGCGAAGGTGGGAGCATTGAGCTGGGGGGTAAATAGCCGTAATTTGTGATCGCATACGCGGGAGATGCTGCTGGGGACGCGATCTGCATGTTGTCGGGCATCTGGTGGGAATTGGCAGAAGCGGCGGCGGCAGCACTCGTACGCGCACGCTTTGCATTGCGCGATTTTCCCGACTGAGCAGGCGCTGAGCGCTTGTTTTTCCCCTTGCTGCCTCCCACACTACCCTTCTCGCCCGCTTTCTTAGCCTTTTCCGCATCAACTTGCTGCCTATGCTCGACAGCTTCTCGGACAAGCTCGTCTCGCGCTTTCGCCGCACTGGGGTAGCGGGTAGCCGAGCGGAAGGCATGCAGCGCTTCGGCGCTGCGTAGTTGTGCCAGATTCAGTACGCGGTCATCGGGGTTTTGGGAGTGAAGGACTTTGTCGACTTTGTCTTGCATCAGCCGGCGCTCTTTCTTCGTAAGGCGTGTGCGTGTAACTTCGCAGCGATTTGCAGCGCAGTTGTGGAAGGTGTGGATGGAGGCGAGGCAGTTCTAGAAGAAGTAAGCATCGACTTATATATGTAGATGCGAGATAGATGCATACCGCGACGGCGCACCATTCTGCAGCTGCGATAATGGGATTGGATCCATCTGGGCTGTCCTGAGTCTGTATCGACACGCGAGGCATGCGATATGGTAGAATCTCCTGGCCAACAACATATGGCTGGATAAGCAGCCCAAGTACCTGCTGTGGGGTGGCGAGGATCTCACAGACTCTGCCGATGCGAGGGGCGAGGACGCTGATCGAACTTTGGTAAAGAACGAACCCGCCTGTGATCGCCTCATCCTTATTAGCGAGCACGACTTTGCGGCAGTATCGGATAGCGTCCGAGATGGGGTTTTGAATTTCAGAGGGAGGTGATGGTAAGGACCGCGCGCTTGAGGTCTCGAACCACGTTGTTGGGGACCGTTTCCGGTCGATACTAACAGCACCTAGTCGACCTGAATGAGCGAGTGTATTGCATGAGCCTCATCTACTCACCTGCAACCTGAGGATACAAGACATCAGCGAGTCCGACAAGCTTGGCGTACAAGGGATTATCAACGAGTTTCGTGATCTCCGAGCCAGCAGTCTTCCAAGTTCCGTCTGCGCCTTTCACAAAGCCCGAACTCGCGAAGTGGCGTATCATATGCATGTTTGCAAAGGATCGCGCGATATCGGTGCTAGGAGCGTGCCTTGGGGAGTGTATGCTTCGCAGGCGAATGACAAAGTTGTAGGACTCGAATGATTCGGTGGCGAAGAGGATGGCGGGGCCGAAGCGTCAAACATGCTCAACAAGATGCAAAAGTACGTGGAACTTGGGCTTGTTGAACCACTGAGTAGTCCAGAGCGCGCTGCAGGCAAGAAAATCGTATACAGCCTCTTCAAGAAGGCGCTGAAGAGGCTTCAGTGAGGTGGTCGCGATGCTACAAAACAGGCGCATACGAAATAATCGCTCTTGTTCTTGATGCTTGCCTGAAAAGCTAGAGGGGCGAGGCGCCCAAGCGCAAGCCATGCTTCGTACACTTCGGGGGGTAGCAGGCCCTGAAGAATTGTGGGCGCCATTTGCAAAATTACGCGAAAGTCGCGGCCCGTCAGTGATCCTGCCCATTGAACCAGAGTCTGACCGCGTGGGTGGGGGATACCCAGACCAGTGGGGTCAAAGCTGTCTATCCGAGCTCGCACAATGCTCTTCTGTTCGCGCGTGAGTCGCGATACCGCATCGCGCCAAAAGTATTTGACGAAGCCAAGGAGGACTACATGTAGGATCTCGACAGGCGTGTCGACGGCGGGATCGAACTCTATGGTGGATGAGTAGCAGTCGATGAGATGATGAAGAGCGACTCACCTTCCAGGCGCAAACACGGACTGAATATATCCTCAGGCAAGCTGTCACGAAGCACGCGGATCGCCGCGATGACTTCGGCGCTCTTTTCCTGCGGTGTTTTCGAGCTATCCTTATGCGAATCCTTGACGCGCGCGCACTCCTCTGCTAGAAGGTCGAAGAAATGGGTGAAGAACTTGTCCTTCACGCCAGTCTCGGTCTGAATCGTGCCCGCTCGTGTGGGTGCGCCATCTAAGACCGCTGCCAACTGCTCGCCAAGCACATCCAGTGTCTCTGCCTTCGTCCTCAGCGGCTTGCTATCCCCAAACATGAACTCCGCGACACGTTCGCGCTCCCCTTCATCACCACCCGGCCGTGCCTTGCTATCTGCACCTCGAACATTGCAGACTCGACAGAAGCACTTGCCAGTGAGCCCGATGTGCGACGCAAACTCGCTTTGCATCGGATTGTCGCCAGCCATGCCTAGAACCCACGGAAGCAGCAGAACGACAGTCTTCAGGTGACAATCATACACCTCTACGCCGCCCTGTTCCCGAATTTCCCTAGAACAAATGAAGTCAGTATCTATCATAGATACAAGCAAGCGATAAGAAGACGTACTGGACAGACTTTACAAGGCGCTCAAACATCTCAAGCGGTGCAGCGAGATTAGACGTCGACAGGAAATGTATATTGTACAGCAAGTGCGCGAGTCGAGGGGGAAGTCCAGCGAGAGTGAAAAGGATTGAATTATGTTTGTTCCATTTCTTGGACGTGTTCCCTGACATATCATCACAGTAGACCCAGATCGGGACCGAGAAGATCTGTTTTCCGCGCGCCTTGACGCGCAGCGGATGGGGCGCTTGGAAAGCGGCAGTCCGGTCGATGGATACTGGCTGAGAATTCTCGGAATCAGGCGACCTGCGAATCGTGCCTGCACGAGATGCACATCAGACAATGGCAGCAAGAGAGCAGCGTTGAGCACTCACCACCGATGATACTTGGGTCGGGGATCCCGTAGAAATGATGTGTAGACTTGAGGCGAGGATAAGAGGCAAGGAACGAAGTCAGGGGAATATCTACGCAGTCCTCCCTCTCGTCAACAAGGAGAGACGGTTCGCCTGCGACCCATGCTAGGCGCTTAGCGCGTGCCCAAACATCGCCGTTTCGAGTGTACCACCGTGCAGGTAGAACAACAGCCTCGGCAACCTCTGGCTGCACTGAGTCAGGCGATGGACGGCTTAGCTGCATGAGAGCAGGTTCGAGAACGTAGTAATGCTGCCCATCTTTGCTGCAGACCATAGGTCCAGACAGAACAGCATCCACATCTTTGTACCACTTATCAGCATTGCATGCACTGGTAAGACGCTCTCCTGCGTCCTCGCTCAGCACAGACACATGGGGGCGTACATGTGGATTGGCCCATTCCTGTCGCATTTTACGAATAGTGAGCTCGCCTAGCCCATCGCGCAAAACACGTACAACTCACATCAGCAAGGATATCTGCAATGCTCAGCATGGAATAAGGATTTCCAAGCGAGCCATCACAGTCGTCGACACCGGGCGCAAAGTCCTTCACAATCTTGTCCCTTCGTAGCTTGATCTGCCGCAAAGTCATCGAAATTGGGGCGCCGCACTGCTCCGCAAGCCAAAGCGCCGTCTTCATGTCCTGTTCCGAGAATACCGAGCGCGGAAAACCGCTCATCTGAGCACCAAGTGCAGCCTAAATCATAGTTGTTAAAGTTGGTCTACCAAGCGAAACCAGAATACTCACCTCCTTGTCGTCCCAAGGCCACCAATTCTCGGGGTGGAAAAGGCGTGACTGCCCGGCAGTCTGAGGTTCCACGTAACGGTGTCGCTCGGTGTTTGCACCTTCTTCGTCACTGGACAGATCCGCCGGGTCAGGACGAGTGGCCCGCATATCGGGCGAGGATGACGGAGGCGACGGCGGACGCCTGACGCCACGCATCTGTCGAGGCAGAGGTGTGCTCGGGGCTTCACGATGATGCTCTGGAGTAGGCGTCCGCGGACTCTCGCGCCACGACGGACCCCACTTCCCTTCCGTCACCGCCTCTTCTTCGTCCGCTTCCGACTCGCCTTCACTCGCGGAGTCTATGTCAGACTCGGAATCTGACGAATCCGAGATTTCGTGGAGGCCAGGCATACCCTCGAAGAGCGATTCTACGTCGTGAGCATCTTCGGGTTGGCGAGGGCCAGCGGAAGGCAGCCATACACCATCATAATCATCGTAGATAGACAGAGGGTTATCGTGAGGTAGTTGTGGTCCTTGCAGCGTTTCGAAAGGAGGTATCGTGGTAAAGACGGGATGAGCGACGCGAGGCGGGGAGCTTGCAGGTGACTGAGAATCGTCGCCTCTCACAGCTTCCGCATTGTTATCGCCCATCCGCAAGAGCCGTGCCATCCGGCGGACGTTCTCGATATGCCGCTTCGCCTCATCGTGTTCCAAGGCCTTACTCAGTGGCATTGGCTTCTTGTTCGGACACCCGGCACTGCAGAGAAAATGACCATTCTCGGCGGAGATAAAGCCTATGATCGATTATTTTATTGAAAGTGCATGCGAGATCATGGTATATGAACCTTTGTTGCGACGTAGTAGATCAGCACCGGGAACACTTGCAGGGGACGACTCCATCTTCGAAGGTATATGGTGGTCAAGGCAAGAACGGGACTTAGCGTTCTCACGCGCTGACTGATCTTGATCGCAGACGCATGTGCGGCGGGTTCGCCGGCCCGGGACGTTACTTCTGTGCAGGAACGCGTTGCTTACTGCCAGAACTTTCCTGGTGTATTCTGAGAGGAAACGCCAGTACATACAAGGGCTACCGCAGAACTCAGGTGAGCTACTCGGCGTGGTAGTGCTTGGTAGAAACGACCTGGATAGCAGTGTATGCAATTGACAACCATCGGATTTCCCGCAGCCGGCTCAATGGGATCAGCACAATGTAACACAAATAGAAGTAAACACAGACCTATTCTCAACGTCCATCACCCCCTTCAGCTCCTTGTATCCTCTCCTTGGCGAACTGGAAAGGCACCCATCGCTGACTGTATATCCGCGGTCTTCTTCTGGTGTAGCTCGCCTCCACGCTTCCTTGGGTCCGACTATCTGGATAGCCGCGCCACCAGTGTCACCAACACGATATGGAGCCTGAACCTACGGGTCCCGCGGTCCTGTCGGCGCCTGCAGGCGTGCATCCTCAGCAACCAATACAACCACCACCTCAAGTACCTCCTGCGGCCACGAATGGTCATTATAATTTTCCCCAATTAACTACTCAGAACGGGAACGTGGTCAAGTCACTTGTTCGATGCGACATGTGCAAAAAGAACAACACAAGGGTGCGTCTTTGCTGCAACCGTCCGAGCTGGTGTTGATTCATGTCTTGCTTAGTGTGATAGGACTCTTCCTGGGTGTGGCACCTGTGTATTTGCAAGGAACCCGTGTGTTTACACCCCGATACCGCCCCACGCGCACAAAGGTGTCACCCGATGCGTGACATGCAAGCGGGAGAACATCAGGGTAAGTTGTCACGTCACATATTCGTCTCCGTCTCATCACATCCCGCTAGTGTGATCGAACTCTCCCTGCCTGCGACCAATGCGTAGACAGTGGTATCGAATGCCAGTATATCTCTGGCAGGAAGCGTACGTACCACTCAGTTCCTTGTGTTATTCTGCGGACCACAAGTTTATAGCCAACAGGTGGGCGCAAAAATCCACCGCCGGGGACTGAAGCCGGCCAAAGCGCGCCAATCAGCACAGTCAGTGTACGATCAGACGACTTGGACGCCAGCGGCGAGGACGATCCTGAGACGGAGGAAAAGACAATATTGACGCCATCTACCTCGAGGACGCCATACCCACCTGCGCCTCAGCCCAAACCTTCGGCTCCTGTGCCCGCAAAAACACCACAGCCCGCCCCAGTGACGTCTGGTCGATACTCCTCTCACTATCGCGACGCGCCCACTGGTCACACCACTGCGCCGCCGAAAGTGCGCGGCGTCGCGCACAACACCGTCACCGGCCTCAAGCGCCATAACTACACGTACATCCCGTCCTCCGTTCCTCGTCCCGTCATCCCCGGCGCGCACATCCATCCATGGATGAATCCCGCGTTCGTTGCGCTCCCCGAGGTCATCATCGCCGGCCTCGCGCATATACCATCCGTTGAGCTCCCGGACCGTATCACGTTCACCGAGTCCCTGAACCGGTTTTTGGGGCATGTCATAGAGGAGCAGCGCAGCACGGTCTGTCTGGGGCAGGAGGAGTACGCGGACACGGCGGACTGCCTCGCGGAGAACAGGCTGCACGACCTGCCCGAATCCGTGCGCGAATGGGTGCAGTTCCATCATGTCATGTCAGGCTCTGACCGCGCGGGGTTGCTATTGATCCCGCGGGAGGACCACTTCCAGAGGTCGCCGAAGCTATTGGAGCGCTTGCGCTTGATCTATCAGTGTCATGTTGATGGACAGACGGGCACGGCGATGTATAGGGCGCTGCCGCCGATGGATCTGGAGGGCTTGGATTGGCTGTCCGTCTTCCAACGCTTGCCTGTGAAGGAACAGATCTACGATATCTTGGCGTACGCGCATCGCGGGCATGGATCGACGACGCTCATGCTCATGGAAGTGCAGCGACTAGGATTTGTGAGTCTGTCGCACCGACGAATGCAGACGTTGCTAACACACCTTACAGGCCGGCATTTCCTGGCCGATGGCGCAGCTCTTCTGCGATGTGTGCCCCCTTTGCAACATGCAGACCGTGACGAAGTTCAGGAATGTCAGTTACTCAGTTACATAGTCATGTGTAGGTCGTAAGTGTAGTAGGTTCTCTGCCCGTGCCGCGCATGTTGGTTTATATCTACTTATACTGTCTGCTCCGACTCTGATTCTGGATACGTTGTACAATGATAGTCGTGTCGTCCATCCACCGGTCGTCCATCTCGACGGTCATGTTCCGCGAGACCAGGCGCTCGTCGCTACCGCCGAGTGCGGCGCGCAGCAAGCTAAGCGCGAAGTTGATCTCCGTCGTCGGCTCTTTCGCGAGCTCCGCGTGCAGGACGTTGGCCCATGCGACGGCTAGATTTAGCGGTTCTAGTTCGACGTAAGTGTCGCAGTCTCCGAGGCCATCCGATGCGAGGATGAGGAAGTACTCGTCGACATTGGGCTCGTCTAGTCGTATCGTATGTACGTCGGGCGTGTTCAGGATGTACGGGGGGTGGAGGACCTGTACGCCGTATTCCGCTAAACTCGAGGTGGACAGCCACTCCTGGTTGACGCTCATCAGAAGGGCGGCGAGCTTTGGGCGCTTTAGCCACATGTCGCCGAAGCCTGAGGACTCGTGAAGCATCGACCACGAGCTAGAAGTAGTCTCGCACCTCTCGTGGGCTCCAGATACCCCAGGACGCGCTCGTCCGAGATGACGGACAGCTCCGTAGGATGTAAGGAGCGAACATACGCGACCTCCTCCTCAGAGCGAGCGTTATGTAGTTTGTTCACGTGCGTGCCAGTCATCGTGGATCTCGAGCGGCGGACGACGGCTGCGCAGGACGTGTGAGAATATCGATCTGAGCGACGCGTAAGACAGAGCACCGTACCTGCATGGCTATCTGGGGCGAAATGCGGGTGCTTAATGGACATACGTCGCGGGCGGGATCACAGAGACGTACCTGCGTGCGTGAGTGTATTGCTTCGTTTAGTAAACGCGGCAGGCCTTACCTCCGAGAGCGGCTACCCAGGCGAGGCGGCGGGCAGGGTCGGTGAGGGAGAGGACGACGGTACAGCCGCCGAGGCAGCGAGCGGCGCGCTGGTAGGCTTCGGTGTCGGCGGCGAAGTGATTGACGAGGGTCTCTGGCGAGGCGGTCTCCCCAGTTGAGGGGGAGTGCATCGACGAGGTCGTAGTAAATTTGTTCGTCTACGTAGACAATAGTCTTCTGCAGCACGCGTGGCACTACGCCGTCATACGGCGCGTCCGGCCCTGCGTCATTCCTCAGCGCTGCCAGCGCACTGCCCAAGTCGCGACGGAGTATTCGCGGGAGATTTTGAGTGACATAGTCGACGGTGAAGCTGTTGACGTGCCCTGCACCCTAGTCAGCGTCCTGAAGGGCTGAGGGCAGCGGCTGCGTACCATCGAGGACAGCGTTGAAGATCCACGAGCCGTAACCAGGTATATCCCACTCTTCTGCCACCAGTCGATCCTCGTTCTCATGCTCGAGCGGCGAACAGGGCTGGAAGGTAACGTGGTCTGTGTGGGTGCTTGGTAGGGTGGTAGCGTGAGCCATGCGAGCTAGCTCGCGGGACAGGATGGGTTCGGGAAGAATTCGATATGTGAAGGTGCCACCCTCTGGATCGCCCATGTCGGTGGTGTCGAAGTCCTGTACTTCCTCCAGGGCATGAACATTTTCGGTGGAGCTGGCTGCCGGGAGGGAGACGAGCATGAGCAGCGGTTTGGAAGGGCGAGAGAAGGGAAGAGAAAGGTCAAAGGAGTGTGAACAAGGGAGTGTTAAAAAGGAGCAAGGACAAGATACTGCCGAAGTCCCATCCACCAACCGTTTGCTTCGACGCCGAAACCTAATCGCGCAGATCTACGTCCTTGCGTAATACTTGCATGTTGACATTCGGCAGGCATTGGTAGTACTGAGCGAGAAGAAGTTCCTTCAATTGACCTGTTAGCTAATCTGCACGCGGTCGCAAAAGGTACGCGCCAACAAGCCCACGACTCATCACGGAGCTTGTGCGAAGAGCGCAGGCAGAGGGTACGCACCGCCAATAAAAGGCTACGCTGTTCAGTGACTAGCGCGATGCTGCGGGTCCTCCCACGCAAGTCTGACCCGGGGTGAGGGAATGAAGGCGGGCCGAGCGATCGACAGAGGAGGAAGGAGGTCGATTGGGGCGGACGAAGGAAAGAAAATACGTAACCGCAGCGTATATCACGAGCGACGCCGCCAAATAGCCAGAAAAAGACGAATTGGTAGAGGACTGAGAGTTCGAGCCAGAGCTGCACGACGGTCGCGGACAGGTGGAGGGCCGAAGTACTTCGGCGAGCGGACGTCCTTGGCCACCGCGGCAAAAAGCGCAGAAGACACTCCGGTCCCGTCTGATAGGCTGCCGCGCAGGGAGCGCATGATTGGTGCTTGTGGGATACTGAGGCGTTGGGCGAGATGCGGGTCTGTGCCGTCCAGCTCGGCAGGCAATCAAGGACGCAATCAACCGTCTTGTCTACCCGATATGGTTATTTGGCCATCCTTGCCTGGCGCGGCAACTCCCGGCGCACACGCGTATTTTGCTTCCGCCATCAATGCCATTCTTCTCCCGCCGGCCCAGCTCTGAACTCTGTCCCCCGCGCCCATATCCTACTTCTCGGCAACCCGCTCTTTTTCTGTGCGACGCCTAGGGCAGCATCACGCAAGATCATCGCACTCATGGCCGCCACAGCTCCGTCTACACCCTTCCTCTCGCTAGACTTTACGTTCTCGCCACTGCTGGCCGACACGCCTACTCAGACTCCATTTCTACGCGAACTACAGGCGCTGCTAGGGGAAGACGCCGAAGCTCAGTTGGCGCGAAAGGACTCATTAACTTCTCGAGCACGAAGCTCTATCCGCTTCCTGGCTTCCACGCCCGCCCACCCACTCTCGACGTCAAGTGCTCAGCAATACCCCACTTCCTGGTCTGGGGAAGTCCTATATTCGCATGTTGGCGCACCCTCCCCGCTCGCCGCCAGAAAGCGCTCTCCTCATACGATGCCGTTAGCTGTCCCAGAGCTCCTCGTCACAGACGTGGACGCGAAGGCGCTGCCTGCCGTGCCCCTCTCCGGCTCTTCTGATAGCGTCACTGCCCCTCTATCATCCAACTCCTCCTCACTCGCACGCCATAGCCTCTCTCTGCAGGTGCCTGCCCTCCGCCGCTCGACCCCGTCATCTGGTTCTCGGCGATCTAAGAAGAGACCTGCGCCTCCCACCTATCTCTACGCTACCCCGAAGGAGATCATCGCTCTGCTCACCCTGCTCGAGGACGTCGACAACGATGTCGAAGAGGACGTGGCGCGTATACGCGAGAACGTCAAGGAGGTCCGAGAAGCCCTTGATGAGGTTCGGGAGACGCGAAAGGCAAAGCAAGCAGCGCGGGCCGCGAAGATTGCTGCTGGGAAAGAGAACGTCCCTCCGAAGGTCACTCTAACGGCCGTCAGCAGCGATTTTTGGCTCAGCTAAATGTGGGGAAGGCGTATGCGGGGTCGAAGGTATGTGTGTGGCTTCCCTTCGTTATCTCTCCCGAAGCTCATGAAGAGACACAGTGCATGTTTACGTGCGCGCTCTCACCGCAAAAATGTCGGGGTATGCAGGCTTTAACCATGTTGCGGCGGCCTGTGAGATGCTCCTCCTTCGACGAATACCTCAGGACTCGGGATCGGGCTTCTACTATGCACTGTATACACTCTACTCTGGACCTATGCCCTTAAGGGCCACTACCTTCACGACATCCGAGGCACGCGCCTGTGGCTCATTGACGCATTGCAGACTATTAAGCACACTAGCCTATACTTCGTACCCTCATATCCTCTACATCGGAATGTATCATTCTGCGACTCTAGCAGTCCTTCTAGCCACACACGCGGGCTTCACCAGTTTGCGCGCCACCCCGAGTCTGGACCAGACCTCGTGACCGTGTCGAACGAAGTATGGAGCTCGTTGCCTGCTGTGAGCCGCGCTAGCACGAGGCACGAGTAGCTAGCGCGGTGATAGGCAAGCTAAGGAGCGGACGGGCAAACGCCGGTCGGCGACGCCACGTGCAGCCAATGCGTATGTTGCTGTCACGGGGCGTCACAGCGCGAGCTTCTTCGAACACGCGCCCACCGACCGACGTTCGCCCCCTCGCTGCCCTCGACTTTTCTCGCCCTCTCCGTCTCACGACATACCGTTCTCACCTCCACAATGGTCAATTCGAACTCAGGACTCATTCCGACCGGAAACGGTGCGCATATACCCACCTCCGGCACCCAAGGCACGACCGGCAGCGTCGCGGGAGGCGCCCCGCACTCCTCCGCTCCGCAGCCCATCAGCGGAGGCCTCGCGCCAGGCACCCCGCAGCAGCCTACCGGCAGCGGCGGCACAGCGGCGCCTAATGCGCCCCCGGGCGGCAGCAACGCGCCCCCGCACCCAGCCAGGGGCGGAGGCGGAGGCTACCAACCACCCGCCTTCCAGGTCTCAGGTCTCGCGCTGCCCATCCCGCAAGACTTCGACTACGACGCCTGGATGCGCGTGCCCCCCGCTAATCCATCGCTGATGCCAATCAAATTGCGCCATAACGACAATCGAGCCTCCGAGGCCCACAACGCGGCCAGTATCCGCCAAACGCTTCTATATCAAGATCCGATCACCCGCGCCAATATTGGTCTCACCGACGTCGGCGCTCCACTCTGGCCGCTTTTCGCGTACACGGAGGAGGAGATCGACGACCTCGCCGAGGACGCCTACGGCACGATCGCCCGCGAATGGCCGAACTACCCCGACTTCCTCCAGGCAGCCCTCAAGAAGCGCAAGGCTCTCGCGAAGCAAGCGGACGAGGCTAAGGCGGCAATAGAAGCCGCGGAGAAGGACGCCCGCAAGCTCAAACCCGTGCCGATCAAGATCGCCCCGATGATCTTCAAGTCCACCCCGCAAGCCCAGGTCACCGACGTCGACACTGTTCCCATCCCCGACATCATCATCTCGCAACTCGCCTGCAAAGTTCCCCTCGACGACACGTTTTTCCTCAACAAGACGCTCCGCCTCCTCGCCGATCAGACTAATATCAAGACCCGCACGCACACGCAGCACGCCACAAAAGACGCCACCTTGATCGACATCCCGGCCACCAAACTCGCGCTCCGCCTGCCGGACGAAGCCGACCTGAACCTGGCCCAATTCGACGAGGCGTCATTGAATCGACTCCGCGCATATATCATTGTTAGCCCCCCGGAAGAAGCCGTGGGCAACGAGACGACTATCGCCCACCACCTGAGGCCCCACATCGAGTTCAACCGGTCACTTCGCGAACGCGAAGAACGCTTCCACGTTTGGCGCCCCATCGAGCGCATGTTTCTCAACCGCATCATAAAAGAAGGTATCGCCTTTGATAAGTCCGCATTCGAAGCCGCCATCAGCGAAGCCTATCGCCCGCTCGATATGGCAGAATCTGCTAACCCTCGCACCTATTACGTACCTCCCCCGCAATTCAACCGCTCCGCTACCTATACCGCCCCTCCTACTCACACTCATTACGCATCTTCGAGCAATACACGCGACTTCGACGACCGCCGCCGCCGTTTCTCCGACCGACGCGACGTAGACTCGCTTGCCAGTTGTTCCCGCTCGCGGCTGCGGTCCGTGAGTGGTTCGGCTCGGTTGGGGGGAATTGGCAAAGGAGGGGGGATATTTGAAAACGGACCGCGAGCTCGCGAGCGGACTGGGCAACTCCGTAGAGGGGACGCAATCCTGGGGTCCGGACCCCAGGACAACTCTGAAAGTTGAGAGTGACGCGCGCGCCCGGCGCCTCAGTGGCGCGCCCGAAGCGCGCCTTTCGCCTTCGTGGGTACTGAGTATGACATAGACATGTACTAGGTCGGTCAGAGATGCATGAATGCTTTATTACAAGCAAGAAAACATAATGAACACGGCCTAGAAGACATTCTCGTCCTCGCCATCCTCCGTGTCCTCACCACACCCCATACCCTCTTCATCCTCGCTGGATTCGTCAATATCAGTATCTTTGTTCGACATGGTGTCGTCGTCTTCATCCGGCGCCCAGTCGGCATCAAGATCGGGCGCGTAGGGATCCTCTTCATCGCCGGCGAAATCGGCAAGAGCTTCGCGTTCCATGGCCGCCCAAAGGTTCTCTTCGTCGTTGAGGACTTCGATGTGAGGCCGGTCCATCACCTCATCAATCGCGGCGGCGAGCGAGGACGAGCCCGGAGCGGTTTCTAACAGAGTGAGTGATGAGATATAAAAGGTGCACGCGAGGAAGATAGCCACGTACCAGGAGCCGCGCGTGCAGGCGCCTCTTCATCCGCGGCTTGAGATGTCGCCTCCCGAGCGCTAGAGGACGTCCCAACTAGGGGAGGGATGCGGTACGCGGCCTGAAGAGCTTTGAAGGATGCGTTGTGGTGAGCCAAAGGTGATGTCGCGCCGCCCTTCATAAGCTTGTTCAAGCCAAGCGCTATAACGTCGTCAACTTGGCTCGTGTCGTCCGCATCGAAGCGCCGGCCCGGGCAGTACTCGTAGACCTTGTGTCGCGCGAGGCTGGCCATGAGTTCGTCGATATCCTTGGTGCGATCGGGCGTGGCGTGGCGCTTGCCCTGTCTCGCGCCGAGCGTACTGTTGATCTCGTTCGAGAGGGAGCGTAGGATCACCACGCATGGCGAGATAGCACCCAACCAATTCCACGATGCGTTGCTTCCGTGGGCCTGAAAATAATTCTGCGCGGGGCTAGGTTAGCTGTTACGAGGAGAAAGGCAGAAGCGAGCACTTACCTTGATCCAGTAGTTGAGGTGCTCTTGCAAGCGATCCACCTCGAGGAACCCGTTGGGTCGGCCTGTGGTGTTGACGAGCCAATTTTGCAGGAGAATGTCCCTAACAGCAAAGGTACAGTCAGCTGCAGCTTATCGCGCAAACCGCCTCAAACTCACCGAATTTTCTTAGGCCACACGATCTTGTAATTATGAAGTAGAATGAGCACCTCGTTCGCGTACTGCACACGACCGAGGCCTCGGTAGCTGAAGACCCAGCTCTCGAGGACGGTGAGGACACGACCAGAGTCGCCGGATTTGATGGCGTCTTTGAACTCCTGCAACAAGAGCGCATCGCGAAGGAATAGGACGGCGCTTTCGAAAACCTGATCCCCAGCATCTTCGTTCCCCCGTTCCCGCTCCCGGCGATGGCGCTCGGCTACCCTCGCATCCGCATAGCGATCTACTATCGCCTCTGCATGCCCTTTCAAGGTCGCCCAGTCCAAGTCGGGATCCGCCACGTATTCCGCGAGCGACGCCTTGCCAGAAACTCGCAGAGCACAGTCGAGGATGCGGGCATCCTTGGACTCGTTGATCACGTCCTCGGACGTTCGAAAAGACGGAAGGGAGGTGGCGACGATGGGCTTGCGACGGAGAATGGTGTTGTGCGCGTGCAGGGAGGCGGGGTTCGAGATGTCGCGATTCTTCTTGCCGAGGTAAGCGAGCAGTAGCGCGGTCGTAGCATTGATTCGATAATGGAATAGCCCCGGCGTGTACAGGATGTGGCGGAGGCTGGACGCGCCGCCCTCGTTCCCGGCTCTCACTTCGCCCACCTCCCTCAAGCGCGCCATGGAGAGCTGATCCCCAGCCACCAGACGTACTTCGTCCGCAAACTCAGTCGCCGTGGTGGGCTGTCCCAGCTCTTCCATGAACTCCCGAATAACGTCGGCATTGCCGGTCTTCGAGTTCTCGTTGATGGGACGCGCGGGCAGGGGATGGACACTGGTGGTATGTGGCGCGATCCTGCTGTTCGTCCGTGGCTCAGTCCGCTTCAGCTTCTTCCCAAACTTCGCCTGCAGCACCTGGCCACCGCGCCGCACGATGATTCGCATAACACAGTGGACGAAGAGCTTGCGAAGCCGCGCATAGTATTGCGGGGTAAGCAGCAGATCTTCAATCTGCAACTCCCGCGCGTCATCAAAGCGCTTTTCTAACGTCGATGTTCGCAGGTCTTCCGCCTTTGCGTTGAATAGGGGAAGGGCTGTCGCGCATGTGCCATTTTGCATAGAGTCTGCGGCGCGGTAGCTCATGAGTAAGCGAAAGCGCACGCGGATTTCCATTCAACCCACCGGTACGCCCTACTATCTGCTCGGCGACCCGCCACATCATGTTGATGTTGTCGTATACCAGCATGAAGCTGTTCTTCTTCGCCATCCGCCGCGCTACCTTGCGCATCTCGAGGGACAGCTTCTGCAGCGTGCCCATCTTCCCACCGCTCGCCCCTTGCTCATGAACGCGGGGATGGGAATGATCTTCCACGAGCGTGGGATCGTCGACCTCATCCTGCGCAGGTTCGTTCTCTCCTTCATGCCTCTCCGTTGCGGACGTCTCCGGAAGCGCAGGTAGGGCTCCGCCTCCTGCGAGGGTCACATAGCTGACCGTAATGCCGAGGTGATTCAAGACCGTAATGAGCTGGCGAGATGCGCCCTCCAAGTAGAGGTAAAGTCCGAAAACGTGTCGGAACCACGAGTTGTGCTGACTTCGTTCGCCTAGCAGAAGCGCCGTGTACATAGACGTGATCTATGGAATGTCTGTGAGTACATTATCTGACCCCTCATGTGCGGAGAGTACTCACAAATTCTTTGTGTTCAAGCTTCGCCTCTGAGCACTCGTCTGTCTGCCTCGGTGTCTGAACAATGTGCCTCAAGAGTGTCACAATGGATGGACACTCCGGGTTTATGAGCTCAACGAGGTTGGTGAACTTGAAGCCTAATACGAAGTCCTCGTTGACTTCTGTAGGAGGGCGGAGTGCGCCGCTCTTGGTGATGGCAGCAGCCCCGTGCTCGACGACGTGTGCGATCACCTCGAGCATTGCGCTCTCGACTCTGCGGCGGGCTTTGACTCGATTCTTCTTCGATGCCATTGTGGCTATGACCTTGTTGACCGCTTTCTCGTCCTTGTAGAACTGATGATATCGCCAGGTCTCCTCGTGGCGGTCACCGAGCGTGTCTTGCATGAACTCGCCAAGGGTCACCCCTGCCCCTTTGAGTAAGTCAAGTGCACGATCGATGGCCACAACCTTCGCGGCCTCCTGGGCTGCCGCCGCCGCCGCCTTTGCTGCCGCCGCCGCCTCCAAGTCTGCACGAAGGCGCTCCTGGCGAGCTGCCTCATAACGATCTCGATTATACTGATTGCGCTTCCGCGCCGTGTCCTCCGCATTTCTCGCTGGCGAGGTGATGGGAACACTGGGGTCGCTTCCCTCGGCACCCATCATCGCTCGCTCGTCGTATCTTGCAGGAAGAGGCTGCGAGGGTTTTGGATTTCTTGTCATTGGAGTTGCTGTGGCTCAGATGAGTGCTCTATCTCTTTCTCAGGTCGAGGCACGAAGACTCACGCGACGTTGGAGGGCTTACATCCATCTCCTCAGGTAGTGTAGCATGCACGACGTTGCGAAACGAATGTGGTACGGATGTCTGCGTGTCGAGAGGTAATGTGGTTGGTACAGCTTCCTCGGTAGGGCTAACATCGGATTGAATAGGGGAGGTGCGTGGGGGAGAGCTGGAAGGCAGCGGAGCGGGCGTATCGCGATATGAGATGTTGCCGTTTGGAGGGCTGGTGGCAAGCGAGGTCAGCGGGCTTGACTTGCATCCACTCTCGGGTTCGTCCTCTGCATTGTGGTCAGCCCAGTCCCCCGTCCTCGAAATTGTGCTCACCCATCTGCAGCTGATGACGGCGGTCTCCAACCTGCGAAATAAGGACTTGTCCGAACAACGATCGCGCGTTCGGGAGCAAATCGCGTTCGCACGTTTTATCTCGCTCTGCCAGCCACCATGCCTCCCAAGAGAGCTCGGCCGTCCGCCCGTACTACGAAGTCCAAGGGACGCCGCCTTCATGCCGGCCACGCAAGCGAGACACGCTCTTATGCACCGCGAGAGCCCATGTCGTCGCAGGCACTGGAGGACCTCCGATCTCGAATGCAGAACCAGCTCCTGTGTGGCCAAGAGCCACGTCCTTTCCAACTCCGTCTAGCACAAGCGCAAGAGGAAGGTCAGGACGCTATCTGTCAGGCTGCTACGGGGCAAGGGAAGACAGTGGTGGCGAGCGCGCCGTACGTTTTGGAGAAGAATGCAGACCGAACAACGCTGGTCATTTCGCCGCTGATAGCGTTACAAAATGAGATGGTGCGTCCCACCGACAGGCTTCACAGTGCAAGGACTCATCATTCCCAGGTCCGCACCTTTCAAAACGAGCATGGAGTAACTGCAACCGCCCTCAACTCGTCCGTCGACGAGGATAGCCAGTTACAAATGAAGGTGAGTCCTCCTGCTCCACTTCAACACTTTCATGCTAACTATTTTGCAGCGCATCGTTCGTGGCGATTTTCGTATAGTCCTGCTTTCACCCGAGATGCTCTGGTCGCAATCGTTCTTCAACAAGGTCTTGCGCAACCCAAAGTTCGCTCGCAAGATATACTCAGTAGTTGTCGACGAAGCGCACTGCGTATCTTTCTGGGGTGCCGACTTCCGGAAGGAATATGGACGCATAGGCGCTATCCGCGCATTCCTCTCGCGCGACATACCCATCATCGCCGTCTCTGCCACGTTGACACGACGAGTCAGACGAAATGTTGTCGACACCTTGCAACTCAACCGAAGTAGCGCTCGGCCGTACTTGTGGCTCAACGCTGGCAATGACCGCCCCAATGTCGCTTATATTGTACGTCCCATACATCATACCCTCGACTCATACCACGACCTCGACTTCGTCATCCCTCCTGCCGCCAATACGCTGGACGACATCCCGAAAACCTGGATCTACGCCGACAACATCAACACCGGCCACAAGATCGTTCAGCACCTGCGCGAGCTCGCTCCGGCGCACCTCCGTGATGGTATTCGATGTTTCAATGCTGTCCTTACAACGGAGTACCGAGAGCAGGCCCTCGAAGACTTTCGTAATGGCAAAATACGTATTCTCGTGTGTACAGATGCTGCAGGAATGGTAAGGTCACTTTTCTGCGCATCAGGACGTCGGGGCTGACAAGGTGTAGGGCTGCAATGTACCCGACATCGAATTTGTGATTCAATACAAGCTACCAGCTAGTTCGTCAGCGCTTAAGCAGCGACTAGGACGAGCTGGACGAGCCTTACCGGCCGCCTTTGGTATACTACTTGTCGAGAAGTCGGCGTACGACAAGGTCATCGCCACACGAGCAGACAGCGATGATATACCGTCAGGCTCGCCTCAAGCGCCGAAGCTGTCCGGAGACGACCTCAAGGAGTACGCCGGTGCACACGGTGTCCATCGCGGCAGCGAGAGCGGCTGTACCGACGAGTTACCGCCATCGACGTGGAGGCAGCTGCCGATTGCGGAAGACGACACGACGGAGGGCCTGTACCATCTGGTGCAGACTACAGATTGCCGGCGCAAGACCCTGAAGACCGTCTTCGAGAACGAGAGGCCAGGTGAGTGCGTATTGCGGTGTTGTTGCTGTTGATGCTAATCAATTCTAAAGACGAGAAGGGTACTGGGCCGTGCTGCGACATTTGTAGTCCGTGGCTGCTCGACCGCGCGCGTCCGAGGAAGGAGACAGGCAGAGGGGAAGTTGAGATTCGCCTGGGTTACGAGAAGGAGGTCTCGCGAGAGTGGTGGAACATGATAGACGATTGGAGAGAGGAGAAGGCGAGGACCGATCCTGTGTATGGCGCGATGGGGGCCAGCTGCTTGCTGTCCAAGGACATTATAGACAAGATCGCGCGCTTGAAGCGCCACACCGGCAGGTTGCGAGAGTTCGTGCAGAAGGTGCTCCGATCCGACTGGCCTTTCTGGGACGCTCTAGGGCAGGAGCTACTCGAGTACACCCTCTCATGCGCCTCACGTCTCGACAACCCGACCACCTCGACAACTGATACTGCACATGTACCGCCCGCACCAGCACGACCGGCCAAACGAGCCACTGCGACCCAGCGGAAACCTAAAAAGGCGAAGACCCAGCCGCCTCCTACGGAAACCTCGGGACCCGCGCAGCCGTTTCATCGCCCTCCTTCTCCTCTATATGGCGAGAATGTGCTCTCCTCAACGAACACCCCCAGCGCGGCGTCTCCCGTGGTTAGAGGGCCCTCCACGATCCCGCGGGGGAGGGACGGCGGACGCTCCCCTCTTGCTGCGCTCAAGCAGAACACATCGTCAAACGCGTCCGGAACCGCCCCACAAACATCGGCGAAGCGTCCTCCAGCTCGGGGCGCGATCCAGCCCCGAAAACGCCGCAAGACTGGCGATCAGGAGCCTGCCGCCAGTGCTGCAGGGCCATCTCGACAAGTGCGTGAACGGTGCTCTTTGCGCGCTTCCATTGCTTATTCCCGAATAGCCTCACCTTGTGGATCGTGTACCATCGCCACCGTCTTCCTCGCTGCACGATCGCGTCCATCCGATTGCTCAAGGTCACGGCCCCGTCCATACCTCGCAACCTCCCCCTGCTCAGTCATGGGCCTTCGGCACTCCCAGGCCGCAGGATCGACAGCATATCGACCGGTCATACGCTCACCTCACGCATCTACTCTGTGATGGGCCCGCAATGACAAGACCTACCTCGCAGACTCCTACTCCCGTCTCAGCACGGAACGGGTTCGGTGCAGCGAGCCAGTTCGGGCGCGAAGCGTACGCACAAGGCGCTGCACCGTCGTACCCCTGCACGCCGCTCCCACCACCGCGTCAGCATCTCGGCGCAGCGATCCATACGCCTGGGATGGCCACCACCCATCTCATGGCTTATCCCCGTGCGCATCATCCCCCGACATCCTTCCTGCACACGCCAATAGAATCGCGGTCGCCACACATACGACCGATGAGCATCTCGCAGGCCAGTCGCCCTCTCTCCACCATTCCCAATACGCCGCTCTCGGTACACGGCCCGAATAATCCCCTCTCTGCGCCATCGTTGGCCACGACACCGAGCCAGCTACATACCCCCAACAAGGTCGCACAAATCATGCCAAAGCTCGGAAGCGTAATCCAGCCGGACAGCATGCAACTTGCGAACGTATGTGCGCTTCGCGAGCTCGGTGGGCAGGATTGCTTCGTCGGCAAGGCCTTGTCCCCCGCGATCCTTTGCTACAGCATCAGCACCGACGGACGTATGCATATCCACCAAGTTCTCCAACGCGCGAGCGTCCTTTGCTTGTGCGAGGGCTGAACTATCCTCTATGGTACCGTCCCCATTTCGTTTTTATGGATTTCATCTATAGATGCTTCTATATTCTTTCTCAATACGGTACTACATGATTGTACTAATCATATTTCATCGGATTGATATCGTTCTCCCCTTCAAAGAGCTGGCAAATGCGAAGTACACGCTCGCTGGCGGCGCGCGAGAGTCTCAACTTTCAGAGTTGTCCAGGGGCCCGGACCCCAGGATTGCATTTGCTATACGAAGTTGCCCAGCCGGCCTACGGCTCCGCGAGGCCACGAGCGGATTTCAAACGTAGGCTGATGAGCTGGTTCACGAGCCTAGACGCGACGATAGGCGGCGTCAGGATTACCGCCCGCAACCCGATCACCATCACTCGCGCTACGATCAAGATTCCCGCCGCGACCGCTTCGACTCTGAGCCACGCCGCTCCCGCGACTTTGACCGCCCACGCGACTATGGTTCCGATCGCCCGCGCGACAACGGTTACGACCGCAGCCGCCGCCCAGCAAGCCCTCCACGACGCGAACCTCGATTTCGGGACGACGAGGGCAAGACCTGCTACTCCTGCGCCGACGCGCACTCGACATTCGACCACGACAAATCCGATGACGCAAATGCCTCGACATTCAAGGACGGCACGCCGCTCAAGTCGATCTTCATCCCCGGCCACCCGGGTACACTCGTCAAGGCCGACGATCGCTCTGTCCAGATCTGCATCAAATTCAACTCCGGTACCTGCAACAAGAACCACGACCACGGAGAGGGTACCAACCGCCGACTACACATATGCGCTCACTGCCTCAAGCCTCACGCCGTCTGCGACGCCTCACCCGATTGCGAGAGACGCGTCAACGGCCGCATCAAACTCTGAGGCACGCGCGCCTCCCGCGCTTGTCGGCACGTCGGACACCGCACCGACAGTAGCCGAAGAACCCGACCCGGACCCGCTTCCCTTCATTTCCGACTGCATCGCCTCAGAATTCCGCTCCGCCCTCCCCCCGCATAGCATACCTTCCCCGCCCCCCGCTACTTACTGCCGCCCAACACGTCCCGCCCTCAATTTCACTGACTTCTCCGATGCCATCGCTGCCGTTGCTCGACCCCCGCTTGCAAACTCCTCCCCCGAGGATAACGAAATTTATTCCAGAATTGTTACCCCTTACCCCGCTGCCGCTTTCGCCGCCTCTTTACGTACTATGAATGTTTCGGATCAACACCCCTTACTTATCAAACACCTTACCTACGGCTTCCCTATCGGCAACCTACCTCCGCTCACACGCAACGTCATCATCCCTAACTCCGCCTCCGTCGACGAGAACATTGGCCCCGTCAATCAATGGATCGCCGGCGAACTCGAGGCGGGTCGCATTTCTGGCCCTTTCACCTTGGAACACATCAACCGCATCGCGCGCGGACCTATCTACTGTTCAGCGCTCCTCGTCGTCGTCACGGAATCGGCCCCCGGTGTCCCAAAATACCGCATCTGTCAGAATTTTTCCAAGGGCGACAAATCCACGGGCACGCCGGCCATCAATGACATGACTACGAAGGAAGACTACCCCTGCCGCCTGGATACCGTCACCCACATCGCAGGTTAGTCCGCTTTCCCGCGCCACGACCCCGCTAACAATTCTTCACGCCCGCCCCTCCACGCCCGCACGCCTCGCCGCGCCAACTCGCTTCCTCGCGCCAACTCGCTTCCTCCTCCTCCTCCTCCTCCTCTTCCTCAAATCACCGCGCCAACTCGCTTCTTTACCGCGCCAACTCGCATCCTTACGCGCCAACTCGCTTCCTCCTCCTCCTCCTCCTCCTCAAATCTTCGTGCCAACTCGCATCCTTACCGCGCCAACTCGCTTCTTCCTCTTCCTCCTCAATTCACGCGCGCTCCGCTATCACGCCACCGCGCCCGCCGCCGATCCGCCTATCACATCACATCACATCACGGCTTCCATCACACCGACCTTTCCCGCGCCGTCAACCTCCGCCTCCGCACCACCAGATTGGGTCGCCAACTCACCAGACGGCACCCTGGGTAGCCCCATCGACCTCACCGCCTTCCATCGCGGGGTCCCACTAAACCCACATCACAAACCTTTCGGCGTCTTTCACCTCGGCGACGACTTCTACTTCCCGCACACTAACTCCTTCGGCATGTCCCCCGCGAGCAGCCACGCCGGCCAGATCGGAGAACCCGTCCGCCAGCGACTCGAGCACGAAGGCTTCAACCCGACCTTTCGTTACGAAGATGACTTCCACGCATGCATCACCCCTACCCCGACCGGCCCGTTCGAGAAGAATGGCTTCCGTTACGACATCAACCCCGACGACGCCATCGGCGAACTCTCGCGTGTGGCCGACCTTCGCCTACCGTTGCAACTACCCAAATGCGGCAAGTCGTTCGAGGCCGTGGTCCCGTCGCTCGGCATCAAATGGGATTACGGCGCCATCCGCCGCTGCAGCCTACTCGACCACAAGCGCCTCAAATATATCTCACGCCTCGAAGGCCTCCTCGCGCGCATCTACGCTAGCGAGAAGCTCTCCCTCAAGGACCTCGAGAAGATTCACGGCACTCTCCTTTATGCCACCTTCATCTACCAGGACGGCTCTTCGCACCTCCCCCCTATCTCACACGCAATGTACGGCTTCCTCGGCAACTACACCACCACACGCTACGCCTCTAAATCACTCCGCAAGACCTTCGAGTGGTGGCTCACGCGCCTTCGCTCGGGCACCACCTACCGCATCCTCCACCCCCTCCGCGCCTTGCAGGACCTCGGCCTTTTTGTCGACGCGTCGACGAGTTGGGGCGTCGGCATCTTGATCGGCGATCAATGGGACGCCTTCGAACTCCGTGACACGTGGAAATCACCGGAGAAGCGCGGTCGCGGCATCTGCTGGCTCGAAGCCATCGCCCTCGAACTGCTATTCTACTACCTCGGCGCCCAGGGCATCTCCAACTGCCGCCTCCTCATCCACTCCGACAACTACGGCGCCATAGGCGCCCTCCGGAAGGGTCGCTGCAAGAACGAAGCCATCAACCTCTGCGCGCGCCGGTCGACGGAGTTCCTCGCACGTCATATGATCGTCGCGGACTTTGTTTACGTGGCTTCGGCAGAGAACCCGGCCGACCCTATTTCACGTGGCGTCCTCGGATCACCTGAGAAGCGCCTCTCGCGCAAATTCCCTCTCCCTCCTGACATTGACCGCTTCCTTAAAGATGGACGACCTCGCCAACCTCAACTTCCTCCACCTCCCTCTCCCCGAACTTCCTCCTCCGCGACCGTCGCCCTCTAAGAACATCGCCCAACCTCCTCCCGACTCACACCCGTACGTATTCTCTTTCTCACCGCGTTTACACTGACACACCCACAGCCCTCCTCCTTCGACCTCTTCCTCCTTCGCTTCTTTCCCGCCTTTCCTAGATTTACCACCCCTGCCCATTCCCGCCGCTCTTAGCCCGTTTGCGCATACACCCACTTCCGCACGCATATACCCCGCCCAACACCCGACTATCACCCCGCAACCTCTACCCACTCGTACCACAACCCCCACACCACCTAGCTACCTGCCCCAGCAACCGCCTAGCCACGACTCGCCGTCTAACCGTCTCACCGCCGTACGCCTCAACGTCTTGAACTCTTTTCCCGTCATCCACCCTCGCCGCACTCTCCTCTCTGGCCGCTTGCTCCCGAGCCCCTACCGCCCCCACTGCGCAGCCCGCGACCGCGTACTCCTCTGGACTTCGCCCTACGCACTCGCCATGCAGGTACAACTAGATTCTTACCTACCACTCCAGTCGCAGAGCGAACTCGTGCGGCAAGCCCTCTCCGGTCTCGAGCCCAGCACGAGGGAGGGCTATGGTTCGGGCCTCTTGCACTTCCACGTCATGTGCGACGCGACCGGTGTCCCGGAAGACGCGCGCATGCCCGCTTCACAAGCGCTGATCTCATCCTTCATGTCGCAATTCCCCGGGAAGCTCACCGACTCCACCGTCAAGAACATGAGCTGCGGCCTCGAGCTCTGGCACACCATCAACCACGCCCCGTGGTACGGCGATTCGCACCTGGTCCGCCTCGTCAAGCGCGCGGTCACGAAGGCGGGTGTCGCCCTCAAGCGGCCTCCCCGCCCACCCGTCTTACTCGCCCACCTCCGCGCGCTCCGCGACTCCCTCAACCTAGACCTCCCGCGCGATGCCGCGATCTTTGCTTTGGCTCTTGCCGCGTTCTGGGGCTGTCGCCGCCTAGGCGAGCTCGTCCCCGAGTCGGCGAAGAGCTACGACCCTACCCGCCACCTCCCGTGCGGTACCGCACGCGAGCATACTACCTTCCGCGGCCTCGACGCGCTCACGTTCCACATCCCCTGGACGAAGACTACGGGCGTCGCCGGCGGCTCCCTCATCCTCACCGCGCTACCCGACGACGACCCGTTATGCCCCCTCAAGGCATACTACAACCACCTACGCCTCTCCGTCGGCATGCCTCGCTCCGAGTCGTTCTTCGCATACTTCCTCAATGACGGCTCTGTCCGTCGCCTTACTAAGACCGACGTGGTCGGCGCCTTCAACGGTTTGTCCCTACAGCACCCCTCCTTTCCTCCCCTCCTGACCTCCTCCCTAGCGGCGGCCGCCCACGCGGGCCTCGCCCTCATCCTAGGCCACAGCCTACGCATTGGCGGCAGTCTCGAGTACTTACTCGAAGGAGTGGAGATTGAGATCGTCATGCAGCTGGGGGGCTGGACGTCCTCCTGCTTCCTTATTTACTGGCGTCGTTTGGACCTTGTTATTCCCCAAGGAGTTATTACCGCGCGCGCGCGCGCGCTCGCATGGATGAGTTCGCGCGCTGTCACCCAGTCAGCCAAGCGGACTCCATACTCTCCTCTTACGCACAACGTTAATTGCATATCATTCCCTTCCTCACCCGCGTGTACCCAAGACGCGTGAGCCTCGTAAGTCCGCCTTCGCACAGCTCGGTTTGGGGGCCGAAGGCCTCTGCCCACCTCGGCCTCGCGCGGCTTCGCCTTAGAGCTGCGCTCTGGCTTGGGCAGCTTCGGCCTTGGCCGATGGCGGCATTCGGCCATCGGTCTGGCTGGGGCCGCCCCGCAGTGTACTGTCGGTGAGGCCCAGCGCCGCGCGGAATCTGCCGGCCCACACGTCACGTGCCGGTTGATCTTCCGCTCGGTGCCGGTCGGGCTTCGCCGACCCGCAACCCCCGGTTCGCAGAAACGGGGTTTTCCCTCGCATATCGCGCCTCTCGGTCTCAGCCTCTGCGTACGCCTATCTACGTACAGCAGACGTAGCGACCTCCCTTCCCTTCCTCCTTCCTCCCCTCGAGGCAGACCACAGGTCTGCCCGAAGCCCTTAGCTTGCTGTGAGCCGCGCTAGCACGAGGCACGAGTAGCTAGCGCGGTGATAGGCAAGCTAAGGAGCGGACGGGCAAACGCCGGTCGGCGACGCCACGTGCAGCCAATGCGTATGTTGCTGTCACGGGGCGTCACAGCGCGAGCTTCTTCGAACACGCGCCCACCGACCGACGTTCGCCCCCTCGCTGCCCTCGACTTTTCTCGCCCCACCCTCCTACTCCCTTTGCTCGCTACGCTCGTGGGCAGCTTCGGCCTTGGCCGATGGCGGCATTCGGCCATCGGTCTGGCTGGGGCCGCCCCGCAGTGTACTGTCGGTGAGGCCCAGCGCCGCGCGGAATCTGCCGGCCCACACGTCACGTGCCGGTTGATCTTCCGCTCGGTGCCGGTCGGGCTTCGCCGACCCGCAACCCCCGGTTCGCAGAAACGGGGTTTTCCCTCGCATATCGCGCCTCTCGGTCTCAGCCTCTGCGTACGCCTATCTACGTACAGCAGACGTAGCGACCTCCCTTCCCTTCCTCCTTCCTCCCCTCGAGGCAGACCACAGGTCTGCCCGAAGCCCTTAGCTTGCTGTCGAGGCGCGGTCTCCTCGAGGCTCCTATCGGATCTATCTGCCACCCCTTGACAACGACGACCATCTTCTGCTACCCTCACCCCACCGAACACTGACCCAACACCGTCCGTATACCAATCGCACATCGACAAGCTATGGGTGAGCAACCTTGAAATGTACTATATGCGCTTTATTTTGACGACGCGCCATTCATCTCCTTGACCACTGCGACAATACTTCCAGCTGCCCCAGCCGCGCAAACACAGCCCATCGACAGTCAGATGAAGGATAACCTCGAGAAGCAGCTCAACCAACGGCCCGACCGTAGCGAGCTCGTTGACCGCAACATCCTCAAGGGTGCGTCGCGTGCACCCCATCTTGCATACGCGTGGCCAACTATACTGACGTGCGTATGCGTGCATAGATGATAAGGGTGTTGCGCCCGCGCTGGTGGCGAACATGGAGAAGCTGAAGCGCTCGCAGCTGGAGGTGCGTTTGGTCGAGGTGTATGCGAACAGGCATGCTGATGACGTCGGTCAGGACAAGCTCGAGCATGCGCTGCAGCACCGTCCCAAGCCGGACGAGCTGGTAAAGGAGGGGATCTTGCAAGGTGTGTAATACGATCTCGGAAGCGAATGAATATGCATTGACAACAATGAGCAGACAACGAGGCGCCTGCGGCCTGAGCGTGTCGTTCCCCCTTCCCACCCCGTTTCTTGTCTGCGCAGTTGTATTATGAGCGGAGGTCGCGATGCGCACCGTGTACGATACTGGATAGCAAGCTGTATATTTAATAGCCCTGATGAGCTGATCCTTGAGAGTGAACACGGTGCGGACGGGAAGGTCGACGATGCCTGTGAGGCGTATGAGTAACGGCGGCGGCGACGTCGGTGTTTTCTGCGGTAGACGATGAGCAGGACAGCTGGAGGACTAGGGAGGCGACGCACAACTGATGGTCATCCAGGTTTCTATGCTCAATCCCTGTCACTGTCTCCCGATCGTCTGCGAATTCTATCCCGCATCTCGGTCGCCCGCTCGCGCATCTCCGACGCAGCTCGCCGGGTGCCCGCACCGCCTGCCCAGCCACGCGCGCGCAGCCAGTTGACCAGCTTGGGGGTCAGACCCGCCGTCAGCCCCACGCGGACGGGCAGGAAGAGGGTCTTGTGGATCGTGTACGCGAGCACGATCATCGCGTACAGGCCCTCGTTCCCCTTGCGCGACTGCACGGGGTCGAGCTCATCCTTGCCAGGCTCTGGCGGGCGCGCGGTCGAGACCATGGAGAGGGCTGTTTCCTTCAGGGTGCCGGCGACCGCGGAGACGCGCTCCGCGCCGAAGACATTGACGGCGGCGAAGGCGACGGAGAAGTCGGCGACAGAGAGGAGAAGGTAGACGCCGAGGGCATACCAGCCGTAGGCCTTGATGAGGTGCTTCAAGCGGGCGGAGAGGGAGGCGTTGGGTGGTAGAGGTGCATGCTCATCGGGAGGTTTGGAGGAGAACGGGCGCGATGATGGTGAGGCGAAGGGGGACAGGCGCGTGCGGGAGGTTTGAGTGAGTGGTGTTGTTCCCGGACGTGCTGTGGGCAGGATGGGTGCTGCGAGGCGGGGGACGATGGTGCGGAAGAGCGGGATGCGGGCGAGGAGGCGGCGCGACATGGTGGTGGCTCGCACGACGGTGCTCGGCGCCAATTTACTTGCACTCGGCCCGCGGACAACTGACGACTTCGTTCGGCACGCGCGCGGATGCCTGCCGCCCGCCCTCGGCCGGCCCTGGACGTGGACCCACAACTGCGCCTCCAGAGTTCGAGTCTCGATAACTGATCAATAGAAAGCAACCAAGCAAGCAATACAGGTCGTGAAGGCAGGTCTACAGGGTGTACATATCCGATAGAGATAGTCGTAGTCATGTATTATGTCGCAGTTAGCACAGCTCGAAGCTCGCGAACGCCAGTTCGTAGCCGTCGAACTCGTAGTTGATCTTGTCCGTACGCCGATAGCACATCTTTTGGGCGCCGCCCGCCCCATCGACATGCCCATTCTCCGCCGCGCGCTCTCCGTCCACACCATTCACCTCTGGCTCGCAAGGCAGCGTCAACGCTGCCTTGAACGCCTTTTGTGCCGCTTCAACCGCGCTCAGCTCTTCATCATCCTCTCCATCTTCGTCGCTTGATACGAACAGCGTGACGCTCAGCCTCCCCGGCTGGAAGATCCGTGTAACGCGGCGAATCAGCGTCTTGAGGTCCGGGCGCTCGTCCGACACCGCAGGGCCCTTGTGAGCCGCTGGGACCGGGACGTTGCACTCGAAGCTCGCGTACGACCAGCCCGCCTCCGGAGTGACATGGATGGTGAAGTATCCGTCCGGTCCTATGAGCGCGTTGGAGGAGTATCCGCATGGCGTGAAGGAGTACGCGTCCAGCACCGTCTCTCCTGCGGGAAAGATGGTCGAGATACCAATCGAGTCCGACAGCGCCTGAGCATGCTCCGAGGGTGAGAGGTCGGAGGGGGCTGTCAGGAATGGCGCGCGTGCATCCGGCGACAGGTCGCTCATGAGGATCTCAATCGTCGTGTCCGTCCGTTCCTTGAGGTCCAGAGAACGGGGGACAGGGGGACGAGCCTTGATTGGGGTGGGAGGAGTACCTGGTCCGGTCATGTACAGCAACCAGTGGTCGCCATTCATCTTGCCGACGGTGTACGCAGCGCCATTATCGAAGATGGCATCCAGAAACTCGACTTCATATTTCCAGTCACGATGGGGCCCGACCTGACGCTCAGGGAACATGAACGACTTGCGAGAGTAAAAGCAGCGATGGACGGTAGGAAGGTTCGCATGCTCGCGGGCGATGGCGAGAATGCGGGGCAGTCCCAGCAAATTGAGTGTCGTCCCGCAAGTCTTCAGGATGAGGCGGTGAGGAGAGATGAAGAGGGATGATTCACTAGAGAGCATTAGCGAAAGCTGTAGGACGCGAAGGAAGGGGAACTCACCTGAGCAGATAAGCATCTAGCTCAGCGCTTTCCACAACGCTGAGGACCTTGCATTTGACGATGTCGAGCATTTCCTCCCATAGAGCGCGGTCTACGACGCGCAGCCCAGTACGGCCGCCCTCTTTGGGGTCGGCAGCATCGGGAACATGGTCAGGACTCTCTGCAAACCAGATCTCGAGGAGCTTTTCTGGGCCCTCGAAGGGCGCCTGGGCGGTGTCGGCGGCGTGGGCGTCGGTCATTCAGTGGGGGGTGCTATCTGGGACGGTCGAAGTATGGGCCACAGCGGGCGGCGTCGGCAGGCATGTAAGGCGGTGGACGGTGGAGGCGAGGAGCGCTGTGCCCAGCAAAATGCACCATCACATCGATCCCGCCTTTGCAAATCGCACACGCCACGTTACGTAACCACCTTCCTTTTCGACCCCGACGACCATGTCCGTCGCCCGGTTCGCCCGCGCTGTCCCGCGCCCGCTCGTCGCGCGCCGGACGCTCGCCACCGACGCGCACCACCACGACCATCACCACCACGGTGCGGCTGACACCAACGAGTACCCGAAAGCCAGTGCGTACCCCGCATGTTCCCCGACTCGCCCCGCTAATAGACCACAGCCGTCTTCACCTCTACTTCCCGCAACATTGCACTCTCCCTCGCGGCATTTGGCGCCTGGCTCTGGTTTGGTCCCGAGAACACCGACCAGAACACCCTCACGCGCGTCCTGAAGAGCTCAGCAGCTTCGCAGGAGGACGTCACGGAGGCGAACGCGGCTAACTTTGCCAAGCGCCATGCTGCGTCCGAGGCAAAGCTCGTCTTTAACAGCGCGCGCCAGCCGTCCGTGCACCGTTTCCGCACACCAATGTGCGTCAACTTTTGACTAACTGTGCTTGCACTTACCTCGTTATCAGGATCATGGACGTCGCGTCGGCTTACTCTGTCCCGGTGGGCTCCGTGAATATGGCTGGTGTCGTTCCCAAGCGCGCTGGCGAGTACTAGACGTACCCCTTGATATCAATACAACTGGATGAAGACCACAGCTACCCGTGTCCGACTTGTCCTACCGTTTGAACTACGCCTCAAAACCCTCCCGGCTTTCAGCTTTCGTGCTCCCACTTCCGTCCCCGGCATTGTCGCTCTCTCCTTCTCTTGGTGTCGTGGTGCTGTTGTTTGGCTGCTCGTTGGTGTCCTCTTGGGCGTACATTTCGACTAGTTCTTCCGTCAAGTCCTCCGGTACAGTGTCAGGGACAGGTTCTAGATGAAGACGCCCGTCGACCTTCGTAACGCGCATGAGTTGCGCTTTCTTGCCCTGCACCCGCCTAGCAATCTGCGTGCGTCCAAGCTCCAGATCCTGAGTCCCCATGAAAAAGTCGATGAAGTCGGCCTCGTCATCTGACAATACGCCGAAATCTGCCCTTCCGCGCCGCCGCTTGTCGTGGCGGGCGAAGAAGGCTTCCGGCCGCCGGCTGTCGAGGCGCGGCTGCAGGCTCTCCATCGACGGAGAGGTGAGATGAGAATGACTGTAGCTGGCCACCTGTGGGCTGGGCGTTGACAGCGAGCGTTGCATGCCGAACATCGTTGGTGGCGGATTATGGTGGCGGACAGTGAGTATGGGTGGTCTGTTGCTGCGTATCACGCTAATTGCAGCAGCGAGATATATATGCTGGGCTGTGTGTGTATGATCCTCCATGTTTGTGGCCAGCACCATTCATCGGTGTCATGACCTTTGTTGAGCGTATGTTGCTTGCATGGTCTTTGTCTTTATTCGAAAACAAGAGTGGCGTTATCGGCTATTTACGTCGTGTCTTCCGCTTGGTCGCTGCGCTGTAGTCTGAAGCCCCGTAGCTTGCCATCCTTTGATGTAGGTATGTTGCCGATCCTGTAGACATGCTCCGCCAACAAGTAAGTTGGCCCTTTGCGCGCCGGCTTTGTTGTTCGCAGGTCGCCGTCGTTATGCACAGCCGAGTGAGTGGAACTCGGAGCAATTCTTTGTTGTCAGTGACCGAGCAAAAAGCAAGCGAGCATCAGATTCGGAGCCACTCGCAATAATAAATATTGAGACCCGTAGGTCTACCACTCCGGAAAAGCGTGTCATCCTTGTGCAGGGGCCATGCTAATCTTCTCTGTATCGTTCCAAATTTTTCGTATGTCACCCCGAAGGGGACGTTAGGACTTCTGGCATGCATCAGGTCATTGGCAGAGTTTGGGGTTAAATACGAGTCCGAGGGTCGCGCGTGGTGGGCAAACGATTCACAGGGACGCTGGTTAGTGTAGACGTTGCGGCTAGCAGTGAAAAATGCCCCTGAATTTCGAAATATATGCCCAGTAATTTGCGCACCGTAGAATACCTACTTACAAAAGGACTGACTTTCATGAGGTCGATTGCTTGAACACGGTCTTCATTTCGGCGAAGTCCGACAAAGCGCGTTGCGCGACGCACGTGATCGCGTGGGATGCTTTCTAGCGAGCTGAACTTGAACTTGTTCCGAACCTTCTTGCACCTTTCATCAGCCTAACGGACTATAGGGATTTCCTGAGCCTCCATCGCTTCCTCCTTCGTGACTGAGTTTGGGAACTGAACTCCACCACTTTTTAGTCGCCAGCCTGGTGGTTAGCAATGTGGGCCAAATGTGCGCTTTAGACCCGTGCATCGGTCTCAGAAAGCTTGAAAGCCTGTCGGTGATGTAGCATGTCCATTCAATATCGAACTCGCGAAGCCTTCTACTCGTCGACATCTCGACGACTGCCTGACAAGTCAAGGAACATAGAATCAGCCTGCAGATAACGGCCGCACCCCCGAACGTCTGCTCTGTCTTCTCCGCGTCCTCGACCTCGATATCAGGAATCGTTTGTACCTTTCGCCCGCATGACTTACCCCTTGCGTACCCATGAGTTTCTTCTTCAACTGAAGCGATATCCCTTTCCTCGGCATGCCCGCACGGTTGGCGCAACGGTCAAACGCGCAATTTCCTCTTTACGCCGGCATCGTGCCATGCCGCCCAGCCTTTGCTTATGCCCTGGCGTCCCTTGACGGGTGTGAGTGAGTACCGGACTAGTATAAAAGCTGTATCTTTTCCTGCCCTCACCACCGCCCTTCACCCATCCACCTTCCGCTGGTCTCGACCAGTCGCTACTACACTCTTTTCGCTGTCCATTCTTTTCAGTTTTTCGTCATGAAGGTCGTGTACTTCCTCTTCGCTGCGCTCGCGTCGGCGCTGTCCGTCTCCGCGCACATCGAGATGTCGTCCCCACCGCCGCTTCGCTCGAAGCACAACCCGCACGCGGGCTGGAACATCGACTACTCGATGACCAGCCCCCTCGAGAAGACGGGCGCCAATTTCCCGTGCAAGGGATACCTCTCCGACTCGACGGGCAAGGAGTCTGTCGCCAGCTGGGCGGCTGGCTCTACTCAGACAGTAACGTGCGTGCTTTCCTGCTGTCCTCGGTGTTCTTGAGCTAATGATCGCCCGTTCTCAGCCTCGAAGGAAGCGCGATCCATAACGGTGGCTCGTGTCAGTTATCCATCTCCGAGGACGGCGGCTCGTCGTGGAAGGTCATCAAGTCCTTCATGGGCAACTGCCCTGCGAGCGCGGGCGGCGTCAGCATGAGCGTTACGATCCCGAAGGACGTCAAGAGCGGTGACGTCCTCTTCGCTTGGACATGGAACAACAACACGGGTAACCGCGAGTTCTACATGAACTGGTGAGTTGACTCTTCCCCTTTTCTAGTTCCCTATCGTGCTAACGCATTCCCAGCGCGGTCGTCACCATCCAGAACGGCGGCGGCGGCCTCTCCGCGTACCCGGACTTGTTCGTTGCGCAGCTCAGCAACATCAACTCCTGCACCATCCCGGAGGGCGTCGATGTCCTGTACCCCAACCCCGGCAACCAGGTTGAGCGCGTCGAGGGCAAGCTGGGCGCACCCGTCGGCAACTGCGGCTCCTCGTCTGGCGGTGGTGGCGGCTCGCCGCCTCCTGCTACCACCCAAGCTCCCCCGCCGGCTACGACGCAGGCTCCGCCGCCACCGGCAACGACCGCGCCTTCAACTGGCGCGTGCACGGAGGGCGAGGTCCGCTGTGACAGCGAGAAGAGCTGGTCGATGTGCGGTTCAGGTTACTGGCAGTCGATGGGTGCGGTCCCAGGCGGGATGGTCTGCCGGAATGGTGCCATCGTCGCTGCGCGGAAGCGTGCGGTGCACAACAAGGGTCGCTGGCAGCATCGGTCGCTCTGAGCCTCCTCAGTTGATCGACTTTGACGGATCGTAACGCTTATTTATCGCGCTATTTATTAGAATAAATGTGTATGGGTAGCCGAGCGAGCACGCATCGAGTGCTTGGAAGCTTAGGTTGCGCCTCAGCTGCTATGTACTTGAGGGTGTGATGGTATTCACATTGAACATCGAAGCACAGATAAAGCACATTGTTTTTCCAAGTATGTTTGGGTCTTTATGCCTCGTAGTCCGAAGTGTGAGGCTCTGACTTGACTTCCAGCATCTCCCGTACAATAGCCCATGCAGCCCGGCGCCGCGCCTCGGGCGTATCATCCGCCTCCGGGTCTGGCATAGGAACATCTTCCTCACTATCGGAGTCCATATCCGGAGGGACGTACCCATCGTCGTACGTCAGGTACTGCAGCTCGGGGAAGAGTGCGCCGATGATGCGCGCGACCGCCGGCGGGCTTGCGATGGGCGAGTCGACAACGTCGAACCAGCTGAGCTTGGTTTGTTGGACGTCCACGTCATCGGGAACGGTCCGGGCGTCGAAGGCGGCGACGAGGCGATCGAGCTCGGGGCAGAGCCGCGCGATGTCGGAGAGCGCACGTAGCGTACAAGGCGGCACGTCGTCGTCGTGGCGGTAGCGGCCGGGGCGGTAGAGCTCCAACGACTGGATCCTGGGCCACCATCCTGCGATGGTTGTCCAATCGCTGTCACTGAGGACGGGTCCCTGCGACGTCTCGATCTCGACATTGCGGAGATTGGTGAAGACGGATAACGGGGCAAGGTCACTGCAGTGAAGCGTATCATCAGGCAATGGCTCTTCTTCGTCCTCCAAGGAGCTACGGCCTGACACGCTGAGTCGGAGACACCGCAGGACAGTCGGATTGCAGTGCGTCGCTATCGCACGAATGAGGGGCGGTAGTTCAAGAGCTTCGGTAGGTGAAGACCACAGAGCGATATCCTCTACACTGCGCAGTAATGTGGATGCATCCAGGACGGAGAGCATGAAGGCTATGCACCCTGGACCACCTATCCACAAACTCGTAAGCGAGGGGAGGGCGCCTGCGGGCATAGGCGATGGCACGCTCTCCGAGGTGAGTTTGTCCAGATGTACGCAGCGTAGGTTGCTAAGGGAAGCCAGCGCAACCACCAAGTTAGGGTGAGGTCCTACGGAGAGCTGAACGCGTTCGAGATCCGGCGCAGACTCGACTATAGCGATTGTGCGCGCCACCGCTGGGGGTGCCATGCTATCCATGAAGTTCTGCAGAAGGAGCGCGCGAAGATATGGCCAGCGCGTGCTGCTAGGGAGAGTGACCTCGCCGAAGTCGAACGTCTCATACTCTGCGAGATCGCTCGGCAGTATAGCATCGAGGAAGGTGGGAGGTAAGGGAGGGTCGATGTCCGCGATTTTGACATGGCGCAGGTTGGGGAAGAGGGTGCGAGGAGGTGGGCATGCGTACAGCGCTTTCATGACAGGCCCCTTGAAGGGTGCGAGAGTGACCTCCTTGACCGTACGCGCACGAGCAAGTACGGGCTCCCAATCCGCGGCAGTGAGCGGCCGCGTGAACCTCTGAGAGAAGCGTGAGTCAGGCGAATCCCGGCGAAGAGAGCGAGCGTACGAAAGCTTGCATGGCATGCCAGTTGTACGGGGAGTGCCGCTTCGTATGCTGCGTGGTATGTTAGGTTGGAAAGCTAGAAGTGCGCAATGCAAGACGCCTGACCTTGATAGAGTCATCGAATTCCCAAGCATCTCTTGGAAAACGGACTAGAAGAGGAAGTAGACTTATAGGACCTTCCCAGAGCACTTGGCTAGCGACTGCTTCCCAGTCACGCGAGACGAGTGCGAGACTGTATAGATCGCGGGCGTCTTCGGTGGAACGGCAGATGGAGAAGCGCAGCTCGGGTACAGCGAAGACACGAGCTGCGGCCAATTTTGCGCGTGAGGTGAGGGGTCTGACGCGCATGGTGGGAGAAAGAGCTTTGGATATGTTCGAGAACGTCGCGCGCCTTTTAAGTGCGCGGCAAGCTCCATCCCGCCGTCATCGCCGTCTGCGGCGCATCACGTGGGCGCGAATCATGGCGTCAACGGTCGACATCAAGTCAACATAGAGAATTCATCTAGTTTGAAAGTTCCTAGGCTGTATACATACACAAGTAGCTCATAATGGGTCCTCTTCAACCCCCATAGTCTCCCGCACCATAGCCCATAGTTGCCGTCGCTTCGCATCCGGAGCGTTTGGATCTGGCGGCGGAACATCATCCTCGAAATCACTATCGGGCTCCCTGTAACCGTCGTCGTACTCCAGACAGTAGAGCTCGGGCAGAAGGGAGCTGAGGAAGGCAGCGACAGCTTCGGGATCCGTAATGGGGGCGTCATTGACACCCAGGCGCCATAGGCTGCCATGCTGTACGGAGGGCACATTCGGCACGACGCGCGCGTCGATGGGAATGTCGAGGTATTCGAGGTCGGGGCAGCCGCTTACGATGGCTGTGAGGGCGTTGAGTGTGGCAGCAGGCACATCGCCGTCGGTGCGATAGTGGCAAGAACAAGAGAGGCGAAGTGCGTTCAGGCTGGGCCACCAAGAGGCAACAGTCGCATAATCTGCGTCCGTTAAACTGGGGCCACGCGTAGTTCCGATGCGGACTCCTTGCAGGCGGAAGGACGAGAGGGGTTCGAGATGCTCTAGGCGAAGAGTATCGTCGTATTCCCTCGCAGGATAACTTTGGCCGAGAATTTGGAGGTCCCGCTCGACGTCGACGCTGAGATCGCGCAGCGTTCGCGCCTCGCAGCGCTGAGCAATGACCTGCAGCAGGTGCGGAAGCTGAAGAGCCTCCCATGGCGATGACTGGATTGCAACACTCTGGAGAGGTCGGATAGGGCAGGACTCCAGCAGCTGAACAGCAAATTGTATACTGTGGGGGCCAGACATATGAATAGCCTTCAACGACGAGAATGAGTCCGATGAGAGGCAGGGCGGGATGCTCTTGTCTGTAATGCCCACTGCGCGCAGGGTAGTGATGGCCGGACTAGCGCTCGCGGCGGCCAAGACAGCAGGCCCATCGCCAGCGCAAATGCTCAAAGTCTCGAGCTGCTGCGCGACATGCAAAGCATCTACAGTGTAGAGGACGCCTTGTGGCCCCATCTTGTTGTCCGGGCAGGATACATGGAGCGAGGCGAGATGAGGGAACCGAAGGGTCAGGGGAAAGACGGGATATAGCCCGGCCGGTCCATGGGTTTCGAGAAATGCGAGACTAGGGGGTAGTAGATGATCGACGAGCTCGGGAGAGACTTCTCCATCAAGTAGATTGCATTGGCGAAGGTTCGGAAAAAGGGTCCGCGGCGGAGGGCAAGTGCGAAGCGCCTTGGCTATCTTGGGCGGGGTGTAGCAGAGCAGTAAGTTCTTGACTCGATGAGAGCACTTGTAGACAGGCTCCCAGTCAGAAGCAGTAAGCGGGCGAGTAAATCTCTGAGAGATGTGAGAACAGGAAGCCCATAGACGGATATACATACGAAAGACCTGGTATACTCTACCAGTAGCCTGGGGCCGAAGTTCTCCCTGATCTGAGTTTTCGTGAGCGAGAAGTGTTGAAGAGGGGGGTGGATCGTACCCAATCACGGTCAGGAATTTCCCAAGCATCTTCTGGCATCTGCATAAGGAAGGGAACAAAACCGGACATGGTCTCCCATAGAACGGATGTAGCGACCGCGGCCCAGTCGCGTGAGACAAGGGCTAGTTTGGGTAGAGTGTGCCATCCCGCGCCTGAGCGGCAAATCAAGAAACGTAGCTCGGGGATGGAAAAAACGCGTGACACAGCGGACTCGGTATCAGTGGACATAGCGGCTCATGACGGGAGAGACGAGAACGATAACGCATGTGACCGTGACAATGCACGTGCGGGAGACATGAAGGTGGACGGAGTGATCGGGGGAGAGAATAGGTTGGCAGAGAATGTCACAGGCGATTGGGAACGTGAGTACCCCGCGCATCCGTAGGCTGTCGCTGACGACGCCCAGACGGCGCTGGCATATGCGCGGGTGTGGCACCACGTAGACGCGTCCGAGCGCGTGCTCGGAAAGCTCGCAGAGCGCATTGCGCTGGTGCTCATGGGCAAGCACAAGCCCATATACGACCCGGGCGTCGACTGCGGCGACTATGTTATCGTCACCAATGCTAGGAATGTGGTTGTTACTGGCAACAAGGCAAAGCAGGTGCGTCTCGTCAGCCAATCCCTTGCGCCTTCGCTGACAAGGCTCAGCTCGTCTACCGAAGCCATTCCATGTACCCCGGTGCGCTCAAGGAGACGCCGTACGAGCGCATGATGGCGAAGAATCCGGACCATGTCATACGCCACGCTGTCTCGGGCATGTTGCCAAAGAACAGGCTTCGCGACCGCCGCCTTGAGCGCCTCTATGTCTTTCCCCGCGAACACATGGGCGTCCTTGGATCCAATATCCTTCGGTCATGGGAAGACGGCTCTCTGACCACCTACGATCCACATACTCCCATCACGGCAGACACCCTTCGCGCATTCCGTACGCAGTAGACACGATCTAATTCATCCCCTCCTCCCCTGTCCAACTGCATGAACTTGCGTGCCACCTTACATGTGTGGGCGATTGCACTCGGAATGCGATATCATATCAAGCATGTAAGGGACCGCGAAGGTAACTCAAACAAAACCTTCGAACGGGCTAATTCCTTGTACCTCACATTATGAGTGATTGCGAAGCTGAACTTCGCATTTTGCCATGAAGCGCGCGTGGTAGACACTACCAAGTTCGTGCCATTGTTGAGCTTTCCGTGGGTCTTTATCATAAGCCACTGAGGTAGCAGGCAACCACTGTCAATGTCAACCATTTGGACTCAGTGACCGAGTGATTCATGCACGTGACTGTGACTGAGAGCGCGTGTTGTTTTCATTGTTTCCAACCTGGTCTTTGTCTTCGGCCACTCTTGTTCCCCACCTCTATCAAGCCCACCACCATGGACGCGAAACTCAAGTCCCTCAAAGTTACCGACCTACGCGACCTGCTCACCAAAGCTGGGGAGCCCGCCCCCAGCAAGGCGAACAAGCAAGACCTCATCGCGCGCGTATCCGCGTCCCAGGCTGCTCTTGCCGCGTATCGCGCAAAGTATGAAGCCCCAGCGGCGGGAGAAGCTCCAGCCATGCAGGAAGAGTGCGTGATACTTGATAAACGCGTGTTCGTCCTTTGCTAACGTGTGCTTTTGTAGGGACGAGCTGGTAGATTATACGGACGACGTTGAACCTGCCGCGGCGCCGGTGTCAGCAGCGGTGCCGTCGCCCCCTGAGCCAGCTCCAGCAGCCTCTACTGCGGCCCCCACATCTGCCATTGCCGCCACAAACTCTACCGCCTCCGCCGCGAAAGCTGGCAACGCGCCTGAAGCGCCCGCCGCCGACAGCACTTCCCCGTCCACCGAAGCCGCTCCTGCTGTCCCATATGACTGGCGCAACGATCCCGCCGTTCAGGAAAAAGAGGACGACCCGCCTGACCTCAAGGCTCGCAAAGCCCGCTGCCGGCGCTTCAACGTACCGCTGGTCAATCCGACTGCCCCCACTCCAGAGCGCAAGGGACGTCGTGGTCAAGGCAACAAGACCACCTCTCCTAATGCGCAGAAGCGCGCAGCTTCTGCTGTTGCGAACGCGGAGTCGAAGCCTCCAGCGAAAGGCAACCCTATCGTCGAGGGGCTCTCTGAAGAGGACAAGAGGAAGCTGGAAATGCGGAAGAAGCGGTTCGAGCAGCTCCTGCCAGGGCAGATGCCTCCCAAGCCCGCCCCCAAGCAAGAGAACGGCGAGACCAAGCTGGGTGCCAACGCGCCGCCGACCTCTCCGCGGGGGACGAAGCGTACTTCAGCCGAGGCGGTGGACCCCGAAGAACAGGCCAAGCGTCAGCGACGTGCCGAGCGGTATAACGGGAAGAAGTCTGCTGCGGAAACGACAGCGAGACAGGCAGTTCAGACAGCGTAGTGGGATTGATGTGTACCTTTGTGATTTCTTGTTTCTCACCCCGCGCCTTTGGTACGCTGCATGGGCTACACAAAAGACAATACCCACACAGACGAAATGATGCCTATGATAGTTCGATAAAGCTTTCAGAGTACAGTACAATTGGGAAGTCGACGATAGGATGTTTGGTATGAGAGGGATGACGTCCTACTTTACTGTACAGATCGTTATGATAATGAACAGAGCTAGAAGGGTGCATGAAATATGTGCAACAAAAGCGAAGGGATTAAAGATAAAGCAAGGGCTGACAAAGCTAGCCGAAGCTTGCAGAGCGCCCCTTCGAACGCGACGAGCCACTCATCGATATCCGAATCGTGCGTGCTGTCGTGCATGGGCGTGTGGATGTGGAACGTGGTGCATTTGTTGCTGGGGTGGGCGCATCTGCTGGTTCTGGAAAGGCGACATAGGCGACGGGGCGCTGAGCGGCGATTGCATGGAATGAGTACTCAAGGGCGGAGATGGTTGTCCTAGACTCCCAGGGCCCATGATACCGCCCTGCGAACTCATGTTAAGCGCGTTCATTGGATTGCCGATCTGAGTCGTCGGCGAGCGCAATGGGTTCAGAGCGTGCGGTGATCCCATGGGCGACGAACGTACGAGGGGCGACTGGCTGGCGCCGAGCATCGGCGACTGTCCCGCGTTCATCGTAGGCGGATGAATCAGTCCTGCACCGGTATTGTCGGATGGCATGACGAGGCCGCCTTCTATGGGCGAGGGTGAGTCCATAGGAGATCCTTCGGAGGGAGCGGCGAGTGACGACGGTGGGGGCATTGGGCTAGATGCATGCGACATGCGAGGGCTTGGGGCGGAAATACCTGAGCTGCCAGCGGAGGCGCTGATGGGTGACATATGCGCGGTGGGCGTGTACAAGCTGGGAATGGACACGGCGGGTAGAGATGTTCGGTGGGCACGAGATATGTTTGGGACGGTATTGCGAGGCGCGTCTGTTGCCCAGTCAGCCAGGAAGCTTTAATCGACAAATCGCTTACCACTCATGACAGGAGATGACATGTCGGATATGCGTGCTAAGTGACGGCGATGGAAATCTGCGCCGCTGCCGCCCTCGTAGTCTGCATGCGTAGCGCTGTGCATGAAGCTGGAATCCTGTCCACCGGAGTGTGCGCCGAATGCAGAAGTCACAGGCTCACCGCCCTGAAACGACGATGGCCACATAGGTATATGAATGGCGGCATGGCCAGAACTTGGTCGACGCTGAAGGGGGGTGGGCTGCGTTCCCTCAGGCGCGGCTGAACGGCCCTCCACGCTACCGCGAGAGTATTGGGCATAATTCATGAAGTTGGTCTCGTATCCCGGCCCGGTTTGTTGATAGCTGGACCCGGCTTGCGAAAACGGCTGGTACATCTCGCTGGACTCGGGGAAGGGATTGAAAGCCGTGGGCGATTCACTCGTGACGCCATCATCAGAGACCAGAGTCGCAGGAGAGGTGACAGTGGTCGCTGAAGGTGCTGTAAATCCTGATCAGACCAAAGTCAGCTGTGAGGTTGGAGAAACACACCAGCGCGTTTTGGGCGAGTGGCGGCTGACGCAGAGGCCTTGCGCTTCCGACTATTGGATGGGGGACTACTCTTGGATGCTGGTGCAGATTCCGAGGAACTGGAGGGACCCTTCTTGGTCGTCGCGGAGTGCGCACCCGCTTCAGACCCTTCATTGTCGTCACCTGCGTTCGTGCCTTCGTCCTCGTTGGATGGATTGTCCCGCGCCGCTGCATCGCGCGCAGCTATCTCCTCGGCGGTCAGGAATCGCCCGCCGGGCCCTCGGGGTCGACGCATGGCATGCTTGTGGCGAGATTCGTGTAGATAAGGCTGCAAGGTCAATGTCAATCGACAGGGTCAGACATGCGATCGTCAATCACGCACCTTCCGTTGTTTGGACAGACGATGAACCTCTTCCAATCGCGCGCGTGCGACACGCCGCTTTAGAATGCGGAAGTACTGTTTCGCGTTGACATAGAGAGGTTCTTCGTCGGGGGTATACGGTTGGGGAGGCTGGATGGCTGGAGGGGGGCCGGGAGTGAAGGCCATATTGGGCGGGTACGGGGGCTGGTCATTGTTGTTGCTGTGCTCGTCGGTGGTGAGGTAGAATGGGTCGCGTCTGTTGTCCATCCGTGCGGACGTTGGGCGGCTCGTATCCTATTGGCCGATCGCCCCTCGAGCTCCTTAACCAATCCTAACAGCGTCCGCCTCCCGGCCACTCACGTTCCGTGTGTGCCTCTGTTTGTTCTCGGCAACATCCGGATCCGGCCCGCCGGGAAACTGATCGAACGTGCGTCTTTTTTTTTTTTTTTTTTTTTTTTTTTTTTTTTAAACTCTGCACTTCTATACCGCTACAAGCTAAGGTGAAGCTAAGACGCGGTCCTCCGCCAGAACTCCCTCCATCCGGAAGCCCGGCAGGGCCCTTCGCATACCCGTGGTGATAATCTACAAGTCCCGAGGCTGCTGCTCGTACTGCTGTCCGTCGCGATACTGTGGTTGAGCTGAATGGTGATATAATAGGTAAAAGCACTCTGTGCATGTGTCGTGTGTCTCGGGGTATCGCAAACGAACAAGAAAAAGGGTGATAAGGGACGGGGAAAGGTACCTAAGCACGGGGTTGGGCTGCCGGGCCTCCTATCCATCCTCGCCGTTCTCGTCGTCCTGTCGTACCTCGGGTTCCTGCTCCCAGGTAGGGAGTGATGGAGGTGCACGGGGTGCACCGGTTTTGGTGAATGCGCCGGATGCCGCTATGAATTCCGTGAGGGCTGCGATCCCCTTCTTCGTTCCCAATAGAACCGGGAGCGAGAGGCCGCGGGATGCGTCACGGAGTAGGTAGCGGTGCTCCTCGTATTGTGGGCATTCTGCCAGGATATGTTGTCGTGTCTGTAGGAGTTCCCCGCAGGGGCAGTCACTGTCGACATCACGAAGGAAATCGTTGTAAAACTCGCCCGTGTATCCGTGTCCGGTACGTGTCTGTAAGACGCGACCAAACACCTCGCGGGGTGTCTCTTTGAAGCGTTTTGTAGGGTTGAGGGAGGGGGGGAGGCGATTGGCTGCAGCGAAGTGCCCACCGTGTCGCTTCCTCTCCCACTCGCTCTTCCACTCGCGAGCTGCGCGGCCCTTCGCGCGTCGAATTGCGTTTGCATCGAACGTGCGTCTGTCCGAGTGTTGGGACTAGCGTTGTGGATGATACCTCACACATCAGAGATATAACTCGGTATCCACCGGGTAGTACTGCAAGAATAATGTTAGAGTTTTGAGGATAATCCCAAGACAAGGACATGGCTTATCCTGACTTTCCCTTGCGACAATATTGGATCCTACTTGTGCTGATATATACTGGCTTTTTACTAGTTAAGTGGCCCCGGGGGCGGTATACGAGACCTTCCTTTTTGGGACATGCCCTATCGACTTCCAGCATCCTTCCTTACTGTAGATACTAATTCTATAGAGTACATATCAGAGGAGGAGGGCTGGACAGAATACAGTAATAAGCAGGAGTGATAGCGCAAGTGCCCAGCATGCCCAGATCCTCCTATGGTGTGTGTCGCCTAGTCACCACCACTTTGTCACAGTGGCAAAATCGGCCGCGCAGTGCGAAAATTCTGTCAAAAGTAGGGTATAGAGGAGCGAGTCTGCCTCCTCCCATGGGTGGACGGTTTGCCTCGCGTCCACGCTTTTTGTCCGCCTTCCTATTCGGGAAGAACTTTCCCACGCCGCTCCGGGGGCGTCCGTATTTATCCTTCATCACCAAAAATCCCCCTGCAGCCAAGCCGCTTGAGAGCGCTTGAGATTTCAGTAGATCCTGAAGGCGCTTGAGTGCTCTTGAGCGTGCTTGAACCTGCTTGAGAGCACTTGGGGATTAGGGTTCCATATCAAGTGGACTGAAGAGAATTGAAAAACTCCAAGTGTTCAACCAACATCTTCAATCTCAGTCTGATTTTTTGTATTGTATATGCTCTAAACAAAGTGAGAAGAGTACATAAGGCATTGGTAGAGCAAGAGGGAATGAAACAGGGAAAATGCAGTGTACCTGCTGTGTAATGTAAAGCGGCCGCGAGGGCCGAACACTAAGAGGCGGACTCACACAGGTCAGAACAGAACCGCGTCGTATTCGGTGTGTGTGCGAGCGATGGTCGTGGTAAGAGTACAAGAAGCGTAAGGTAAGTATGTATGTGTGTGTGTATGTACGCTGTCCTCGGCGTCAGCCGGGTGTAATATGTGGCGTATGTGCGTCACGAGGAACGGTCACGTTACACCCGCCCAGGTACTACTGAATCGACGCGAGGTGTTGAAAAAATTGAGAAGAGAGTTGCGGTAGAAGTGAGAGGGCGGAGCAAGAGCGGAGCACGAGCGAGGCATGGCGCGCCAGCAAAGCAACGAACAAAGGTAACGGGCAAGCCGCGCGAGAGCTGCCAACGATCAAGTGCCTCGCAGTCAGCGAGCTCGGCAGCGGGAAGCCAAGTGTCGTCCTCCTGGCCATAACCGACCCAGCGAACAAGATACTTGACGGACTTCCGGGAGCGCTTCTCGTCGACGATCCGGTCCACAGTATATTCCTCGTAGCCATCTGGGGTCAAGAGGGGACCAGGCTTGAGCAGGCGACGCGAAGGGAAAAGAGCATCATCATTCTCGCGCCAAAGCACGAGCTCAGAGACGTGGAACTTGGAGAACACGGCGGAGTTGGGCAGGTCCAACTCGTACGTCGACGTCTCAGGGCAAGCCTTCACGACTGTGAAAGGACCGTCGAAGCGGGGCATGAATTTAGCAACTCGCTTCTCACCCTTAGCCTTGTAGTGCTGTCGGCGATTGAAAGTAGCGACCTTCACACGATCACCGACGGCGATGGGAGGCTCGGACGGCCGCTTCGCATTGGCCGCAAAAGCCTGGTTAACCTTGGCCTGGGTAAGCATGTCGCGCGCCTCAGCCTCATTGTCCAGGAAGCCCTGCAGGTGACGCTCGGCAGAGAATGCCTTGGCGGTACCCTCCAAGGAAGGAGGGAGCGAGTCGGGCACGAGAGGGGGAATGCGTCGCGGGTGGCGTCCAATGTGCATCTCGAAATGAGTAAGACCGGTGGAGGCATTCACTGAGTTCATGATGTCGAAGCGCACGCGAGGCAGGGCCTTAACCCAGCCCTTCTGGTTGCGTTCGACGTGGAAGCGCAAGCATTGGTTGATCGTCTGATTGAAGCGCTCGGAGGAGCCGTCGGTTTGCGGATGATAAGCCGAGGACATGCGCAACTGTACGCCGCAGAGCGAGTGAAGGGCCTGCCAGAAGCGGGAGACGAAAAGCTTGTCACGATCGAGGGTGATGAAGAGCGGGAGACCGTTCTCGCAGACCCAGTTGTCAAAAAATACAACCGCCAGCGCCTCAGCCGTCAGCGTAGTGAGAGTGGGCACGATGCGACAATCCGCCCCCAGCCTGTCCGTTATGGAGAGGATGCAGTCATAGCCACTGTCGACGGGCAGCGGGCCGACAAAGTCCATCGCAATCTCCTCCCCCCGGCGGTCGGGCACAGGCAGCGGGTGTAAGGGACCGCCCTTAGCGCGGGTAGAAGCCTTGTTACGCTGGCAATCGGGGCAAGACGGCACGTACGCGCGCTCAAGGTCGCGGCGCATACCCGGCCAGTAGTACGAGTCGCGCAGATTACCGAGCGACTTCTCAGCGCCGAAGTGGCCGCAAGAGTCATGAGCGACTTGGAAGAGCTCCTCCCTGAGGCTTGCGTGCTTGGGCACATAGAGACGACCACCAACGTACCAAAGCCCGTGCCGGAGCTCGACGCCGGGCACAGAGACATCGCGCGAGGACAACTTGGCGACGAAGGCGTCGCCCTCATAACCAGCCTTGATATCAGCAAGCCAGGCGGTATCCGGGCGGACGCGCAGGGTGGCGCAGACGGGGGAGATACCATAGCGGGCCCAAGAATCCTGCGTGGAACTGTGAGCAGGTCCGTCGGGGTCGTTGGGCAAGCGTGAGAGAGCATCCGCGGCGGTATTCTTATCCCCGGGGAGGTAAGTGATATGGAGTTCAAATTGGGACATTATCTCCATCCAGCGAAGCTGCCGCCGCGAGAGGTCCTTCTGGCTATTGAAGTTCTCGAGAGTGCGGTGGTCGGTATAGACATGCACAGGCATACCCAACAAGTCCGCGCGCCACTTCTTAAGCGCCCGTACGACCGCGAGGAGCTCCTTCTCGTGGGTAGCGTAGTGAAGCTCGGCCCCCTTCAGTGAGGCAGAGTCGTAGGCCACAGGGCGCGCGGTTTCCCAAGTGGGACCCCAAGACAGAACAGCACCGGTGCGCCAGTCGGAGGCATCGGTCGTGACAAACACCTTATTATCGCCCACGTCCTCGTAGTCGATGACAGTCAGACATTCAGCAGAGGCAACGAGCGCGCGAATCTTCTCGAAAGCGTATTGGTGCTCATCGGTCCACTCGGCGAAGGACTTGTTGAATTCCTTCCCAGTGAGGGGGTCCAGAACGCGAGTGTATTCCGCAAGGTTTGGCAGGTAGCGGGCGATGTAGCGGGTCAAACCCAGGAAACGGCGGAGGTCAGTGGCGTTCCGCGGCGTAGGCCATGCCACGACCGCGTCGACCTTCGAGGACTGCGCCTCGATACCGCGCCGAGAAATGTGGTGACCGAGGAAGTCGAGGGATGAGAGGAAGAAGGCGCACTTCTTCGGGTTACAAAAGAGGCGAGCTTTCCGGAGCGCGGCGAGAATGAGGCGAACGTGAGCGGCGTGTTCCTCCACAGTGTCCGACCAGATAATAATGTCATCCAAGTAAATGTAGCAGAACTTGCCGAGGAAGGGGCGCAGTGCGTCCGTCACCCGACGCTGATGCACAGGGGGCGCGTTCTTAAACCCTTGGGGCATGACCAGCCACTCATACAACCCGAGTGGCGTGGTGACGGCCGTGAGCGGGATAGATTCGGGGTCGAGTTTAGTCTGGTAGAACGAGTCCGTCATGTCCATTTTTCCCCAGATAGAGCCAGTGCCAGCCGCGGCGAGAATGTCGTCAACGCGGGGAATGGGGTGGCGGTCGGTGACCGTGACCGCGTTGAGCAGGCGGTAGTCATTAACCCAACGAGGGAGCGCGGTCTTGTCTGCTTTTGGTGTGAGGAAGGCGGGCGAAGCGAAGGAAGACGAGGAAGGACGGATACGGCCAGCATCGAGGTGGCGCTGGATCAAGGTCTCCCAAGCCTCACGGTACTTTCGGGGAGATGGATAGGTCCGTTTAGAGAGCTCGAAATCGCGCACGCGCAAATCGATCTTACACAAGTGCGTATTGTCCAGATCGTCGACGTGAGCGATAGGCCCGAAGACGTCCTTGAAGTCGCTCTTGATCTCCTCACTCATAGCCTCGAGCTTGGCTTTATGTTCGAGGGTCTCGATCGTCTCCAGGATCGCGCAAACAAATTGAGAAGGGTGGCGGGGCGGGGTAGTGTGCGCGTCGCACGCTACCCGGCGGCCCGCCAACGTCTCATTCAACTCGGAGACAACAGCTAAGCGATCACTACAAATCTGTATACGGCGGTCCTTGGGCGAAGTACGGGTCGTAGCGGTAGCGGGGGAGGCAGGCAAGCGAGGCGGGTGCAAGATATCAAAACCAGTAGCCATGCAGATAACAGAGGGGTCGAAGACACGAGAGCGCGAGGCAGGGTCCCGGCGAAGCGAGTACGAGATACGGAAATCGTTCAGAGCGAGGAAAGGGAGCCCGAGAAGGAGGGGAACATGTAGCGAGGGAACAATAAGGGCCTTAACGGTATGCGACTGGAAAGAAAGCGAGCGGTCTTGCAAGGAAAGAAGCGAGTACGAGTCGATCGAGAGTTCAACCTTAGCACCGTCTGGGCCGTCCATGGCGACGCCGAGGAGCTCCGGTTCTGCGAGGCGGTGGACCCGGAGGCGCAGCTGACTACGCAAGTCCTCCCTGATGAGCACAAAGGGTGAGCCGTCGTCAATGAGCGCGCGGACACGCGTGGCAAGGGAGGACTCAGGGGACCCGACGACACATTTCCAGAACAAGTGTGGCAGGGCGTGTGGGATGGCATGAGCGTGATGGGTGCCAACAGCACCGGGAACGTGAGGTAGCGGGTGGTGCAGTGGGGGCAGCGGAGCACGGGGCAGAGCACATACCTCGGTAGCGGCCGGGGCAGCGTCAGTCAAGCTGGCGCGAGCCTTCCCCTTCCCCATGATAGCGGGGCGTTCGGAGAGGGTGCGTGCTCTAGCGGGGCTGGAGGAAGAGACGTCGGTACGCGCCGCACGAGCGCGCGGCGCCGGCGACGGGCTGGGCGGTGTGGGGGGCGGGCTGGGCACCGGGCTGTCCAGCGGCGTCAGGGGCGAGGAAGAGCGGTGGCGAGCAGGCGAGACGAGCGCGCGCTTGGAGGGACCCGCGGCAGGTGCGGACTCCACGGACAAGGAATGACGACGCTCAGGCGTAGTGGACACGGGCGATGCAGCGCGCGAGGGCAAGGCGGAGGAGCGACCGCGCATGACGGACCGAGGACGGGAGCGGACGGAGGCCGAGCGGGAACGCGAACGCGAGCGGTCGTTGACAACCTCACGACCAAAACCGGAGCGCGAGGGCGAGCGAGCACGCGAGAGTGACCGGCTGCTAGACCGCGCGTAAGCGCGAGCCTTGGACGTGCTGCGGTGCGTATGGATGACCGCGCCGTCGTCACGGTCACCGCGGAGGGCGCGAGGGCCAGAGCCTGCGGGAGGCGCGGGCTGGCTGATGTAGTCGTCGTCGTACCCCGCGTCGTCGTCGCTATAGTCACCGAAGGAGGCTGAGACGAAGTCGCGAGCAGGCTGGGAAGGAGCCGGTGCCGCGCGCGGGACGGCGGGCAGGCCCATGTCGCTGTGACGGCGGACGTTAGCGATGTGGTTAACACGCCCCCGCAGTCCAGTGGAAGCGTAGCTGCGTGCGAGGTCGTTCTGAGTGTAAGCGATGTAGTTGACGGGCTGAGGCTGTGCGGGGGGACCCTCGAAGGACGAGTCCGGCGAGATGCGGGCGACTTGGGCAGGAACAGCGTTGACGCGGGTGCCGACGGGAATGCTATTGGCGTTCGTGGCGGGACCACGAGCCGGAGCGCGGGCAGCGGGCTGTGTATAGGCAGGCGAGATGGCGAACGGACCCGGGTTGACGTTAGCAACGATCTCCTGGAGCGTGATGCCGCGGCGCTCCCTCTCCTCATTGTAATGAGTGAAGTACGTCTGCGCAATGAGGTAGTCCTCGACCTCGGTGCAGTCGAGCGGGAAGGGCGGCTTGAAGGACTGGCCCCGGTTAGGGCAGTCGGAGGCGCGATGATTGGCGCGGATCTTGAAGCAGAAGTAACACCCGCTGAAGATGGTGATAGTGATGAAGTGGCCAACGAGTCTCGGGTTGAGGTCGAGGGGAATGATGAGGACCTCCTTCTTAGCCAAGACATCGGCCTTGGTAAGCACCCGAGCAGGGGGGCGTGAGCTGATCGCGTTGACGGCCGTGACCTGGTTAGACCAGCGATGTGGAGGTGCGGACTGCTGGGCATACGCGGGCTGCTGACCATACGTCGACGAGCGAGGAGGCTGTGCGGCGTTGCTGGCGAAGGCGGGGCGCTTAGGCTCGGGCAGCTGAGCCGAGTGCGAAGCGGTGCTCAGGCCACGCTTGCGCAGGTCGTTGTCGAGGGCCTTCATCCCGTCGCTCACAGCGTCAGCGAACTCGTCGAGAAAGTCGCGGTGCGCGTCCCAGGCGGTGGTCAAGACCGTCGTGAAATCCTTGATGGATGCATTGTACGCATCCACCGACGCCTCGTCGCTCTCGTCCACGGTCGGGAGCGTCCACTTCAGGAGCTTGGCGAACTGGTCCTTGCCGCGGCAGAAGTTCGTGAACTTGCGGCCGAAGCTGAGGATGGTGCGCTCAATGATCTTCATCTGCGACACGCGCAGCTCGGCGGGGAGGTCGAAGTTAGACTCCTCAAGGCCGTTGTAGAAGTCCAAGGGGTGTTCCTTATCTGCGCGCGCACGATCCTGGAAGTCGTCGAAGAGCTTCGTGGAGCCGCCACGTATGAAGGTGTCCCTGAGCACGTCGAAGAACTGCTCGTAGGTCATCGTGCGGAAGGTGT